GTAGCCGTTACTTTTGTTACCGGCTTCGTGTAAACATTGTCTCTGTACGAGAGCGCGAAAGCAGCGTTTCCCCGATGACGAGAAGTCGCGTACACTTCTCTTGCGTTAAGAAGAAATGGAGTTGGCGAAATGTGGGAGCGGAAAATCAATGTCAATTATTATATTGTTTGTTCGTTACACATATAACGAAAAACATTTTGGAAAATCGAGTTTTCAAAAGTTACATATTTTTTTCACAAATGTCTATTGAAATTCTCACGGTCTTCAGGATTGCAACATCTCAAGGATTAGACATCTCAAGGAGTTGCGAGAGATGTTGTCTTTGTTGTCATTAGTTATTTTTAAGCGACATGTATATTACACACACACAGGATGTCCCGAAATCCATAGTACAATACTTCAATAGTTCATATTCTGGAGCTTGTATGTAATTGGAGTTGAAAATCCTAACGCAAACATGTTGATTCATCGGTACCTTAGGACATCCTGCGTATTATATACGTACTCACACGTGTTACGTTAATTCTGAATTCGACACAATGAGCCTGTTCTTTATCGCTGAACTAGCGTGAACACTTCCGGAACTTAAAAAGAAACAGACACATAGCTGTAACTTCGTATAAAGAAGAGGAAGGTAGAACTCTAGTGCAAGCTAGTGCGGCCAGAGTTCAGCTGTAACGAACAGGCCTGATGATTCCTCGCGTTCTCGGTGTGGTCGTTCAAAGAAGCGCTGGTTTCGAGCATTCGCGAACTGCGTCAGATGTATCCAAAGACAGATCTGAATATAAAGCGTCACGCGGACGCGTACCGTTGTTGTTGTTATATTAAGTAAGTAATCTGCATACACGGGAGCGATTTCGCAAGCGGGGATACCTTATTTTAGCGAGCGCATTCAAGTATTATGCAACAAGTAGTACAATAACCGAGTAAGGCGCACGCACGCACGCACGTACACGCGTGCGTGCATGCGTGCTGCGTGCGTCTGCATTTCGTTTCGTTTTTTCGAGAGTGACGTCGCACCTGCGCACCTGAGTATTTACATGTAGGTTATTATAAGTGAATCGTAATCATAGTTGTTGATTGTAGCACGAGGAGCCGTCATCGCGTCCAGAAAGCTACACTTAACCCATTAATTGCCGTTCGGGGCGTCGATCGCGCGGTGGGACGAGAACACGAGGGAGTCGCCGCGATTAATTACGCTTTCCACGCTTTCCACGCGAGCCCCGAAACGACAGTGAGCGACTTCGTGAGCGAGTCGTAACTTAATTTCCCGGCGCTTAATGGGTTAATGCAACGCTGCCGCCGAGAAGCATATACGAGTATATTTATGTGGCCGCGTATATGTGCGTGGCTACTTCGACAGATCAGGGATTCTTGGACTTCGCGACATTTGAACATGCTTCGAACGTTGGATTTGGTGAATCGTCACCGTGCGAGAAGACGGACGAGGAATTAAAAATGAGACGATCGATGGTGTGTGTGTGTGCATGTGTGTGCGCGCGTGTGTGTGTGTGTGTGTGTAAGTCGAGACCGGGAGAAGGAAGAAAAACCGCGAATTGCGGCTTGTGGCGCGAACGAGAAAAGAGCTTCGGTCTTTACTACTGATGGGAACACCCGAACGACACACGGCTCTGTCTGTGTAGACGTGTTCGAAGTTAATGAGTTTTGACGCAAAGATTCAGGTAATTAGTGTATCTTAGAGAGATATAACGATTTGCAGAATTTAGTACCGACATAGAGAGTATAGAGGTATCACAGGTGAGCGTGACGCGCTCTGTGAAGATAGGAATTCTACCCGTAAATTTCCGGAAGCGACAGCCGGTCGTAATTCGCCGAAGAACTCACGGAGGAGGAGGATCGAAGTTGAAAACGCAAAATTCCGCGTCTCTCGGATCCGTCGAGATCGATTCGCCGGAGTTTTCGAAGAGAACGCGACTCCACCGACAAATTTTTATACACGCGCATCCCGAAATTCCCCGGGGAGGAAAGTGCGATGGCCTTTCGCGAAATTTCCTGGTAGAATTCGCCGATACCATATCGCGCGTTGCGATACGAAATCCAGGATGCGTTCCGCCGAAGAAAAAGGGAGAAAAAAAACGGAAAGAAAAAAGATCGCTTAACCCTTCGAGACGCGATTCCACTCTAAGCTGCCATTACGACGTTCCCTGTTCGAAGAAACCCACCGCTCTGTTCAAACAAGGATCTCGGAAAAGCGATTTTCTCCCGGAGTAAGTAAGGAAAAGAAAAAAAAAAGGGGAAAAACAAGTCATCCGTCTTGGTCTGGAAGGGTTAATCACTCTCTCGCGAGGAAAGAGACAGCGGATATGTGTAGTCGCAGCGAGTTTAGGAACTAACTGTAGATAACGTGAGAGACACACCTGTCGGTAGCATGAAAGCATTGCGTTCTATTCGGGTACGCGTTACGTTCGGTATCATAATTGTGAGCTTGTAACTTAATTAAAGATCGTGTAAGACTACGCTTTCAAATGTTATCGCAGTAAAATGTAAATAAAAAGAATTTCTGATGGACACACTCGGATGCAATCAGAGCCCGAGCCGAAATTTTATTTCTGCATTAAGGTCTTCGATCTTGGTCTTTCGATGCTACAAATGAGACGTTATTTCCGTGTTTCCCACTAGAAAATAATGTAGAACTAAGTAGATTTAATGTAGGACCAAAATTTCGACTCGGGAGAAGCCTGGACGCCTCGTAATCAGCATCGCACATCTTTCATCCCTGATGAGTTGTCAATCGCTCTCCTCTCGGAGGGTCGCAGATCTCTTTTCCGACAAGTTTCGTTTCTTGTCTTTAGTCACTTCGTACGTTTATTTGTTTGTCAATCGACACTATTCTTTTTGTTAGTCGACACATCGAAACCTTCGACCTTCGCGATCTTCCGCGATGAAGCAAACTTAATTGTAATTTACACGGTTTGCTTCGTCTCCTTTGCGATTTCGAGCGTTCGGTGTGCACGTCAAGTCGATCACAAATGATCGTTGAGTTCAGAGAATACAACCATTGAGCGATAATCGCCTTTGATCGAGATATTTTTTGAAATCCATGATGAATCTGAAGGAATATTTCGACGACAGTGAGCGCTCATTCAAGCGTTGCATTTCCTGAACGTGGCCATTGTCGAATCTGTGTTCAACCCCCGACGGCGGGCAACGTCGAACGACGAAGCGAAGAACCACGTGATTCAGAAGCGGGGAAGCGAAGGCTGCGAGATTGATTGGCCGCATTGATAGATCGCGCGGTAATGCACGCTGATGTAATTACAGTTCACCTGGCGGAAATAACTCGGTCCTCTTTCTGCGTAAATCGATATCACCGTTCGCAACATGTCCGCCGGGGAAAAACAAATCGACACGGGACGCGCACGTTTTCGCGTCTCTCGAGGCAACGTGTTAATTTCTCGTGTAACAAATTAAGTACGTCATTAAATTAAATTCTCGCGAGAAAGAGTAATCTCTCGTCGACGAACGAAGAAACGACGTCCCAGATTTCCGAGACGTCCACGAGGCTCTTTCTTTCTCGCTCTCTCTTTGTCGCGCGTTCGCACGCGTACGATAATTAACTTAAGATCTTTTCTTACCAACCACGAGAAAGTTCACTTGAGATCAACGAAGGAACAAGGTTTTTTGTCGTCTCTTCGCATTCCCTCGCGCTGCTTGACTCCTATACAGGGCGACCCCAGATAACATATATAACATTTATAAAATATTTTAAAAATATAGATATTAAATATGTTTAAGATATTTAATATCTATATTTAAAAAATATTCTGTAGATATTGTGTGCCGTCTGGAACGTTACAACGAAGCACAGACATCTATGGAACAACTAGACTGCTAACTCGGCCGAAATACATGGTTCCAGAACATATGTACAGAAATCTCGCGCATGCGTCGTCTATGTAATATGACAGTCACTCTTTGATTGATTAACACATTGACTGCCACACTAGAAAAAAAAAATAGTTTTCCCTGGAGCCACGATGTTTTATTACGAAAATAAAGTAAAAACATTCAAAACGAAATATTTTTTTGTGATTTGATGAAAAATTGTTATTTTTAAATTGTTTTATATGCGTGAGTCATATGCAACTCACTCGGTTCTAGAACCGTTTCTTACTACACGCCACGTGAGTTATATATAATTCACTGCATACTTATTGACTTTTTTCTGAGAATTTAATCTTTTGATATCTGCAGTGTCGTCCCTCCCGTCACCATCTGTGACTTGTTCTCTCCTGAACATGGGCTCTGCCAGGAGAAGATGTACTGTGTGCTATGAAAGAACACAAGCTGAGAAAGGACGTGAATATGCCATGAAAAGGTGTAAACAGACAGCATGGAAATGCAGCAAATGTAATGTGTATTTTTGTGTAGAATGCTTTTTCCTAAAACATACATCAGTGAAAAAATAAAATAAAAACTTGACCTTTTGTAAAGTAAAACGTAATGGGAAAACTTGGAAACAGTTCATAAAGGAAGTGTTTTTGTTTACATGTTAGATTTAGTGAAATTTAAAGGTTAAAATAAATAGAAAATAAATTAATTAACTTCTATTAATTTGATCCACGTTTTTAAATTGCCAGTATTAATTTAACAATAACGTCATCGGTAAATAAGATTTTCACGAACCATCTGCAGGGTTTTTTCTATGAGGCCAATCTTCAAAAAATATGTATGTTATTTCTTGGTAGCATGAGTTGCCTGTGCACCACGAGGCACTCAAGGCAAAGTGACGTATGAGTTGTGTACACTTCACAAGGCTCCGGGTTTAAAACTGGGGTGAGTTAAATATAACTCACATGGCAGTTAATGTGTTAAATGTCATGTATGTGTCTGTAGACACATATAGGCATCGGCTTATATAGATTCAACCAATAAAATATAGATATCCTCTACTCCACGCATGACGTAATACATAATTTCTGGCGTCCATTTTCTGCTCGCATACAAAGGAGTAAGTAGTCTAGCTCTCATATAGATATCCACTACTGGTTGCCAGAGTTGCAGTAGTGGTGCAATACTGATAGCATTATTGGCCCAGCATTGGCGCAGCGTCGGATAAGTTCGGGCTAATACCAGCTAACAACACAGGTTCAACAACGTTAGCAAACAATATTGGTGCAGCATAGGATTACGGTGGGATAACCAGGCCTCAAGAATGGCAAATAATAATGCAATATATATATGTGTGTGTGTGTGTGTGTGCGTGTGTATATGTATTAATATTAATTATTATAGATGGCCCAAAATATAATACCCGAAACGTTTAATTCTATAATTTTCTGTTTCTCATATGTTTGTATAAGGAATAAAAGAAAAAAATTGCTTATATTTACTTTAACGTTAGACTTTTGTCTGCTTATATTTTCTTTTTTTTTATTATCGATTGTACATCTTTAGAATCTTGACTCTTTTTGTTTTAGTTGCAACCGCAATATATTATATAGGATATTTTAAAAATTTTGTTCTGCTTTCCCTTTTTTCTATTTTCCTCTTTTTCGCCGTACGTAAGTGTCAAGTTATCCTGCCGATAAAAAGTAAGCCAAGCTATTGAAAATTTAATACTTCATAAGAAACAACACAACGTGCGTGAAAAGAAAATGTATACAGCATAAAGTTTTATTTTAACGTGTTCGCTGTTTCCAACCTTCTTTTCCTACGATCAGCAGTTCCGATCACCCAACGACTTAAAATAATTACAAATTTTTTTATATTTGTCTATATAGCCAAAGTTTTCCATTAATATGTTTGCAACACATATTTCTGTCTTAAATGTCAATTTTCACGGTAATGTCATAAAGATTGAAATAATACTGATCATTCAGATAAGTTTGTGTTTTATTGAAGTCGAATTTCCCGCAATAATCATTCTGCCTTCTAAAAATAATATTTTATTTTCACCGCTTTCGACATTGTAGCATCATTATTTTTCACGCAACTTCTAAGAAGTGTCTTCCCACACACTAATATTTGCTTGACATTTTTCTATAAATATAAATAAAGTTGAATCGTATGCATATAAAATAATATGATGTCATTTATTACCACAGCTTTTTTTTCTTGAGAAGCCTCAATTACCTCTCTAAAAGTAAAGAAATCTTCCATCGTTTGCATAAGTTTTGCATGCTATTGCATGCTACTCCCTAATTTTTCTTGCAATTGGCGATATTTCCTTTGGGCATTTTTCCAATACGATTTGCTTTGTGATATTCTTGAAATTACTAATTTTTTATCTAAATTATATATATTAAATGCTTCTTTTAGCAGAATTTATAACTGCTAAAATTCCATTACATGTGTCGTTTATCCTTCTTCAGAGATCTTGAACAATTTTTATTTAATGAATTTGTAATTCCTTACAGTTCGTAATAAATCACAATTGTATTTCCGAAAAGATCTATCTTCTCATTTTCATGAAATTTCATGAAAATATACTCATATGAATATATATAATATATTCAACTTAAAAATATGAGTATCAATAGTCACTCTACCTCTTGAGAAGTAGGCCTCGGATAACTTTGTTCGTACACTTCTAACGTGTTAAATCAGCATCGGTTTAATGGCACCATTTTACTGTTGCTAACAATAGTTATGCCGCATTAGGCTCGTTCTACATTACGTCGTATGTCGGAGTCGGATGTCACTCGTCGTACATTTGGACCGGTATTTATAATTACATCTTATATTTAACATCCTTCAGTTCATCCTCAGATATTGTATGTACAACTTGTTTTATTGACTATAAAACTTCCAAAACGTTATTGTAGACATTTCTTACTTTTATTTGTAACGTCGTATTCTACACAAACAAAACGGTATATTATTGTTTACAAAGAGGAGGAATATATTTTTGTATCCAATATTAACATTAGGAATTTTATATTAAAACATGTCCATCCCGACAATGTTGTTAAATTATGAAATAATAAAATTTTTAAGATCGATGAAATATTAATTAAAAAATACATACCGAGGATACGTAAGATTTATGTATATTGGGATATGAACCGGCGATCCATGCGAAACATTTAATTATCTCATATCACTTAAAAACGTTGAAATAATCGTTGGCAGTAAATTCATGAAATCAAAAGAAATTGCTTTTATGAAAGATGTACAATCTAAATGTATTTTATTACATGTTAATGTAAGCAAAATACTTTATTTTTTTATTGCACATATAATTAACATTTTAGATATATTCGGGTAAAGAACTAAAATATATAACTTTAAATTACAAAAACGAAAAAAAGAAATATAATATTGGCCATCTATATTCTCTACACATATATTATTTCTGAACATATTCTTCACATATTATGCTCAACATATTATGTCCTAACATATAATTAATTTGTTCCTCATAATGACGCTGCATTAAAAACTGTATATACATAATGTACATATAGTTATTAATGCGGTATAACTATTATTAGCAGCGGTAAAGTGGTATCGTTAAATTGGTGCTGGTGTAACGCGTTAGAAATGTACTAACAAAGTTATCTTAGAAATGTTTCATAAGAGGTAAGTAGATTAATCATTGATCATGTTTTTAAATTGAATATATGATATTTTCATTAAATTTCGTGGGAATCAGTAGGTGGACTCTTTCAGAAATATAGTCGTAATTGATTAAGAACTCTAAGGTATTACAAATTTATTAATTAAAAATAAAAACATTTTTTAGGACCTCTGAGGGAGTACATGGACGAGAAATGTGGTGCAATTTTAGCAGCTATAAAGTCTGCTAAGAGAAGCATATTATACGACATGGACAAAAAAATTAATGATCTCAAGAACACCATAATATCGAATCATATTACAAAAATGCCTAAGGAAAATATCACCAATTGCAAGGAAGATTTGGGAGTAGCGTTGCCTTTGCAAACAATGGAAGATTTCATTACTTTTGAGGAGGCAGTTGCAACTTGTCAAGAGAAGAAAAGAGCTTTGGTAATTATATTGAGATAATATTACTTTATACGCGCGATACGACTTATTTGTATTTACAGAAAGAGTTCTACCGGATATTAGTGTGCGGGGAGACATTCCTTAAAAGTTGCGTAAAGAAAGTAATGACGGCTACAATGTCCAAAGCGGTGGAAATAAGATATTCTGCATTTGGAAGGCAGAGCAATCGTTGCGGCAAACTCGACTTTAGTAAAACACAAACTTACGCGTGTTTGAATGGTACTAATATTATTTAAATCTTCATGACATTACTGTGAATATTGATATTTAACACAGAAATATGTGTTGCAGACATATTAATGGAAAAGTTCGGTCACACCGACGAATATAAAAAATTTTCAACTATTTTAAGCCGGTGGATGACCGGAGCTGCCGACCGTGAAGGGGGACGTAAGCAACGAATACGTTCAGCGGAGTAATGAAGTTACTTTTATCGATAAATGTCCTTGAAAGTTGCGTGGGAACTTGACTGGCTGAAGAGCCACATTTAAGGCACTTTTATCGATAAAAATGAGCTCAGAATATGGACCTATGACTCTGTGCTATTATCGTATACTATGTGCTATATGTTATATATTGTGTGTTTATTACATTAATAAACTATCACATATGCACGAGCACATGCCTGTTCAGTTATTCATCTAAGGATGATTTATAATTCAAGTTAATGTTACCAGTGTCAAGTATCTTGTGGCGAGTCAATCACTTGCGCTACACCAGATTAGTGCGCACTAAAGGCCGTTGCCCACAATCTATCCGAATTGCGTAACATGAAGCACTTTGATTATAAAATTATAAAAAACAATATTATTATTAGATGTTTAATCATTTAAAATATTCACATATTTTTCTATTTAAATAACCGCTTCATGTGTGTAGCAGTCTTCAGCCTGCATTAATCCGGTGTAATGCGAATGATCGAATTCGCTGTTAGTAATAGCGTAATTTCGATTTGATTATCTTATGACGTTGATATTGATAATGTATCATCGCTGTGCCATCATTATTTGCCATTTTGAGGCTTGGTTACTCCATCGTAATCCTATGCTGCGCCAGTATCGGCCGCACGTTATCATCTAATGCTGCGTCAGTGTTGCGCCAATAGTGTTTCCACTACCACGTCAATACTTGAACTTTAGCAACCGGTAATGAGCCGATATAGGTCAAAAACCTATATAGGCTAAAGCTTCATTCTCCTCTCTTTTTCTGCAACTTCCAATCATTATTGTACAGTATAAATTTTATTGTATTATATATTCAATTATACTATATTGTGTGTATAATATATAAATAATCTCTAACACGCTGCCACGCGTCACACGTGTGTAACGCGCCGAATCTTACGAGAAACCGGCGTCGTATACATGTCCGACGGTGGTAATTTTTTATTCTACATCCACATAAAAAGTTAAATCTGTTTTACACAAAAAAGGATATATAGGTGAATGGTTTTCCTATGGTGAATGGTTTTCCACACGAATATCGGTAACGAACGCGTTGAAACGCATTACGGATCGTGTGCGAATATTCATGTCAACAGATTTCAAATTTCAATTAACACATCGCCAATTGACCGAGGGTAGATCTACCCTCTTCTCTGTGTGATCGTTGGTCGACCTAAACTTTCGACGATTCCGGGGAAAAATTATTACTTTTATTTGTAGATTTTCTTAAATTACATTTAATTAAATCAAATTATTCTTTCTTTTTTTCACTCAACAGAATTTTTATTTCGTGTGAACATATATAATTATATATAATTATATATGTATGATAATATTATATATAATTATATATATATAATTATATATAATTATATATATAATTATATATATACCCATATATAGAAACAAAATTCATATATAAATCATACATATATAATTATATATAATTTTATATGATTATATAAAGATTTTGTTACACTGACTCCTACGTTGCGGGGATGCGTGAAAATTCAGGTCAGGATATGTTAACACGTACCGCGTTTGCAAAATGTACGGTTGGCGATGTGTCGAGACGAAGCCCGTTCGAAATTTTGTCCACCCATTTTCAAACTTCACCCGCCCCGGAGGAAGTGTTTAAAGAAAGAACAGCGGTCCTTGGTGTGTCAATGTATATGCGGAGTGCTCTGATCGCGCGACACCTCACCGACACCGGCCGCGATGTGCGTATCGGCGCGGTGTCTCTCGTTGCACGTCCCGTAGCGTGCAAAAACGCGTACGGCGCCGGCTCACTCCCTCCGGAAGCCCTCCCCGTCTAGGTAAAAACCGAGGAATGCATTTGTAGAGCCGTCGAAGATGACGGGTGGCACGCCGCCGGTGGCCAGAAGCGGCCATACGCCGACGTCGTACTGCGACAAGTGCGGCGTCACGTTCACCACGCAGCACGCGCTTCTGCGGCACATCACGTCCAAGCACGAGGACTCGCCCAATTCCGCGGCGTACTGCAACATCTGCCAGCGCGTCTTCAAGACCAAGTGGAGCCGGGCGACGCACAACAGCAGATACCACAGGAACTGAACGTCGGGAAATCGTCGGGCAGTCGTGGCGTCGCGTGTCGGACACGCGGCCGTAATGGTCTTGTTTCTTTTCTCTCTCTTTTTTTTTTGCGGTGCATCACTACGTTCCTATATATTATATTATATATATTTATATATAAAAATACTCGTTCCTCCCTTTCCCTCCCCCCTCCCTTCCCCTGCACACTTAGGATTCCCTTTAGTTCCTTCAACGCCGTCACGTGGCTAACTGGATCTTCGTCTTCGCACGTTAAATCCTACCCGGTACATCTTTCTGCTGCTAACGCGAGAACTCGTCCCGTTGTTTGGTCTTCGGTTCCTGGGAAAAAAATGATTATGAATTTTGCCCCTATATGCCCATATATAATTATGTATAATTATGTAGAATTATGTATGTGTGAGCATACATAATTATATATAATTATATGCGTGCTCACATAGAGACAAAATTCATATATAAATCACATATATATAATTATATATAATTTTATATGATTATATGTAAACATTTTGTCCCAGGATTTTATCTTCGTTCGATGATCGCGTTCCTTGTACTAATTACCGTCCACTCGGTAGGATCTGACGTGTTGAAGACTCGCGTCTTCGTTTCAAACGCGTAGAACGTCGGATGACGCTTCCGCATCAGCATTCTCCGGCCGCGAATTCGTCCTGCGCTTCATCCTGCATCTCTCAATACAATTATTATTATTATTATTATTATTATTATATCAGCGTATGCATCAGAGGTGATTTCATTAGCATCGTTATTAAGCGCTTCGCTCTTCTGTCGCTATGTATAGAGTGCCTCCTTGTTTTAGTTCACGATGAGGATCTTAATACGCGTCAAGTCGGCGCCCCTCGCGAGGAAATATCGTTCCTTGTGGTTGGGAAGTCTCGGCAGTCAAATCTCAAATTTCGAGTAGAGTTCGAAGATGTAATTTAAATTAAAAAGTGTAATTTTGCGGCTATATTTTTATTGTCGTTGATCTCGACAACGCAAGATCTACGGGAGAAACGACGTTGGCGAGGAATACTCTGTTTTTACAGTTAAAGCTGCTTATTTATAGAACGAGAGAGACGATAAAATGTAAGACTTGTAATTATCACGAAGATAGAGGAAAAACGGGACAGTCGTAGTCGGCTGGCAATTCTCTAATATATCAATTACGCATGAGACGAAATAAATATTTAAAAATCGTAGAAAGTAATTATTTATTTGATGCTACAAAATTCAGGTTATAGATTTTACGTGGTTGTTCCCTTTTCTAACGAAAAGCAATCGCGACTTTTCTGCAAAATTATTATAAGATTTAGAAATTAATAAAAAAAAACAGCAGTCGACAATGCTTTATTGTGGCTTGATTTTTCGCATTTATTGCCTGACAAAAAAACCCTTTGATATTTATATTTATTGTTACATTAGATCTTTATCAACAATACATAGCTCACAAGTTCGAACGCCAGCTCAATCTTACGGCTCAAAGTCATCTTATAATCGGTATATTTACAACATTGTAATTCGTAATTTGTAACTTACAACATTGTAACACCTAGCGCGCAATGCGAAAGATTGATAACGAGAAAATAACGAGAACCGAATACGCGCTACCGTTCATTGTAAAATCGCTTTAAATAGAAACACCCCGTCGCGTTCACGACACTAAATTAGTTTATTAAATATTTATTTAGGTTGTAAAGCTGTAGCTGTAACCACGTTATATGGCGAGGACTGTGTCCTCTTTGCGAGCGCAGATGAGCATACTGATGACCGTTACTGACACGTGGTGATTCTGCGTCTTGTCGTCTTGCTGATTGGACGATTTCTTAGTATGGGCTCGTTTTACAGAAGAGGAATGTCGTATTTGCAGCCTCCCCTCAGCGCAAGTACCAAATGCAGCACCGACCCGCCCTGTACCTTATAATCCTGCGCAGTTTTTTCATCGTTCCTGAAAGGGAGGCCCAATTCTCACGTCTAGATGTAACAATTATCAGAGAAAAAGAACATATTCCACTTTTCTTTCTGGTTCTTATTGCTGATTTGCCTAACTTTTTCTTTAAAGCAGATGAGCAATGTATTTTGTATGATGTGCACTGAAAGTGATACTTGATTGAAGAAACTGAAGCAAAGGAATCGAAAGGAATGCATTATTTGATTCTGGTCCTATGATGACAGTAGAAAATTAATTTCCCAAGTACATTCTTCTTATCGCTAAGATTAGTGCCATGATGAGGCACAGAATATACATATATCTCAAGATTTCAGGAGAAAACTGCGTCTTTATCGCGTCAGTTGTAACATAGCCCTATATATAACACCACGCTTAAAAGAGTTTAATGCGAAGATGAATGCACGGTAAAATTAAGACGTTTAACATTGTGTTATGCATGCTCAAGGAAATGTCTGATTCACATAATGTTAACAAATAATACTACAACATTGCTCATCACACAGTGAAATTACAATAATATTTATACCTACATCTGTTTGCCAGAGAATATTAATCGCTGCTGTTGCGGTGGTATCCCTTCCTTTTCCTCCACTCTTTCTTTGATTCTCTCTACTTTATCCGTGGGTTCTATGTCTATTTCGATCTGGAAAGGCCATGTGTGATTAATTGAAGTAAGAAATGAGTATAATACACAATTGTTTAATTGTAGATATTGTTTTCAAACTCGAACGACATACCTATCAATTTATTAAGATATTGTATTGATATATTCAGAGAAAAAGAATGAATTAAAATAAAATCTAGAATGGACGTGTCTATTTAGGAAGAAGCTGTCAAAATGCGATTTGAATTTACGAATAATCCGAAGAGAAATATATCGCTTTCAAGTGAAACTCTGGTCGTTTTCTGTCAAGCAAAGGGACGAAGCTGAGTCAGCCCTTGTAATAAAACGATTAGCAGAATTGTTGCTGATTGCACAACGATCACGTTAGTTGATTTTGTAAGATTGTTTGCTACGTTGGTTTTTAATTCGTGCAGAACTTGCCTCTTTTCCAGTGAGGGTCTGAAAACAAGGTTGGAATTAGTATTATGGCAAATCGACCGCTACTTTGAGGGACCGGTACAGTCGGATAAGCATAATTACCTTCACTTTTATCAACATTTTTCAGCAATTAAGCGTTGCTCTAAGTTCCCGCAGTACTGTCACCAGTCGAAATTGCCGACACCTCAAAAGATTTAGGTGGGTGAAAAGTCAAACGAACGGTAAAGTGTTGCTGTGACTATCCACGAACAACCTACCTAACCTAACTTAAATTCGTCGTTTTACCGCGGAGTATCGCCCTCTGCCGGTAATAAGTGTTATTAATAAAATCTCAGATGTCAGTTGACGTACATTTATTTCAATGCGGTATTATATATGGTTAATCCAACGTTGTGAATTAAGTTGCTATATTTAATTTTCATATCACTATATATTTCTTCTTATACACTTCTTAAAAATATATCTGAACCAGCTATCAGTACATCACATTCAGCTGCATAGAAAATTGTCCATCTAATTAGATGCGATGATTATCATGTGTGATTTAACATAATATTTACAATGAGTGTCATATACGAGTACATTTCTATTGAAAAATCATGTTATATAATTTACAAAAGGTTATTGTAACACAAAATATTTATACATGAGGAAGCAATCCAAACTGCGAGATTTAAATGGTTCTCAACGATCCGACACAATCTTTAGTTTCTCCTCCTGAGCTATCAGTTGATTCCTGATTTTCTGCAGTAGTTCCTTCTTAACTGAATCTGGTACAAGTGCGCGAGCCTTGGTTGTGACTGTGGACAACAGCATCTCGTAAGTGATATCATGACCATGTTCCTTTATTAGCTCCTTCGATATCAGCTTCACTTGATCTCGCCATCCGCACTCAACTAATCTACGTCTCAGCAATTCTTTCAGCCTGAAAATATTTTCTCAAGACATACCAATATATATGTATTGTATGTTACAATCAATAATTACAATTATCTGGAATTCTATTTTAATTAAATTCAGTTAGCAAGTTTTGTTTTTCTAAATTAAAATCCTAGCTGTAATATAACATAACATAATACAGAATACCGAATTTATACGATTAAAAAAAACTTGCTTCTCTACAGCTAATTGATTTTTCCGGGACCAGCATAGGATGTAAACAATCAACTAGTTCACTTACCCGTCGCGATCACCAACCATAACTAACCTTTGATGCGGAGCAGTCTTCATTGATAATTTTAATTATGTCGCTTTTACTTTTTATCTCTTCTATTCTCTATGTTATTTATTTTCCTCTTAACCTGTATGTTAAAGTAGCGACTTCTTTTTTTCGTAGGATCCAATAAAGACAGCAATTCAACGTAAGTCATGAGATTGTTTTTCTGGTTGCACTTTCTGCACGAAGTGTGCGCAAACGCCGCGTGGCTAGAAGTCAATATACGTTTAATTCTTATGGGAAAACGGCACGTTGATTGGTTATCGCGTCGTTTCTTGCTGGGGTGGGTTCAGAAATCCTACTGGAGTAGAATTTTTTAACCAATTATAATAAAGAAATGTTTGCTCTTTCTATCTTGATTGGTCAATTAAAAGCTACTCTACTCGCCGAGTAGAATTTCTGAACGCACTTCTGCGCGATAAGCGTCTTCGAGTACAATCCACTTGCAACTGCAAACGCTTTAAAGTGCTGAAAGAAATAATATGATCGGTCTATACGGCGCTTCGAATTACATATGTTATATAATTTTCACAGCTGTCTGACTATCTATTGCGTATGTTCGTGAATTATAGATACGCTTCGTCATATTTCTTGTGTTCCGAAGCATGTAAAAAAAAAAAACTGTTGCAGCCGTCCTGTGACCGATTGCATTTAAAAAGAACAAACCCGTCGTGCCGTTGGACGTTGTTCATTGGTTCCAAAATCTTCGCTAGATGCCGCCACTGTCTGATGCGAAAAGTCGAAATCGTAGTACGGCTCAACGGCAAATGCAGCGACCCTGTTGGAATTTGCGTGACTATATATATTAGTGTATAATAGGTGGATTCCACTTAACGCTCGCAACGATCACGAGCATCCATCCATCTTTGTTTAATATTCAAGAGAAACAAGGATAGAATGATGCTCGCGATCGTTGCGAGCGTTAAGTGGAACCTGTCGATAGTGTGTCACACGTGCACGTGTAGGGGTGGGAACGAATCACCGTCTGCAGGTATACACACTTGCGCACGTCGGTTACGCTCGCGAGAATATCAAATGTTCGATCATGTGTGAAATTCGCGAGTCAGGCAGGACGTGATATAGCGCGAAACATGTGCGAGTGAAGATGTCGACCGTTTGAACGAACGCGATCTCTGTGCCGGCCGATCTGAGTTTCGCGATTATGTCGCTTCGTCGATAGGTGTTGGATAAATAAAAGGTTTCCCGTTCTCTTCGGAGTTCGTCACACATCGCGGACGGGACCACAAAAATGTCGGCGCTGCGTCGAGGTGTTTTTAGGCGCGAGTTGTGATGCCGATTTGCCGATTTTTCACGATAACGCCCGTGTGTGTCGTGATAGCGATCGCTGCAACGTGTCTTTCGCGATGCCGTTGCGAACATAATTATGAGAAGTAAGATGTCACCGTTCCGCAGGAAAAAGTCGGGAAAATCCTTCCCCGTGAAGGTCTGCACCTTGGACGCGGAGCTCGAGTTCAACCTGGAGGTTAGTCCTACCGCTTGTCTCGGTGTTTATTCTTTTCCTACTGGGCGTCCCTCGGCGAGCAGAATTTTTGTCACACATTGAGGAATACTCTCTGTACGTCATCTCGCGAGCTCTAACGAATTCCATACGATTCCGCAGTGGAGGTCGACAGGCAGAGATCTGTTCGATCTGGTGTGTCGCACAATAGGATTGAGAGAAACATGGTACTTTGGGCTTCAGTACGAGGATGCCAAAGGCTTTATCTCCTGGCTGAAACTAGACAAGAAAGGTAAGTGCAGTTGGCTGTTGACATCGCCTGACATTGAATCTCCTAAAGCTGTTGAGTTTATTTTAACGATGCTAAACTGCTTCCAGTCCAGGATCAAGGTATTTCGCAACAACCGACGACACCCTTTATGTTTCTGGCCAAATTCTATCCTGAGGATGTATCCGAAGAGCTTGTGCAAGAGGTTACTCAACATCTATTTTTCCTACAAGTGAAACAGGCTATACTGTCCATGGACATTTATTGTCCACCTGAGGCTTCTGTTTTGCTAGCTTCCTATGCTGTTCAGGCAAAGGTGACTTCTGTTATTTCTGCTAAAAGAATATAATTTATTAAGTATTGAATTGATCTACGATGTATATCTATTTTGCATATGGCAGGTGTAACAGACATAATCGAAGCAGTAAATTGTACAAAAACCATACATTTGATGTTCATATTTATATATTGGGTTTCATTTATTTGTTGAATCATGCAGTTGTATTTCGGCCAAAAATATAAATTGCTTACATGAAAAATGGATCAAGTCCAAAATCTGTAACATGCCTGTTAAATAGGATTCTATTTTTAGAGCAAATACATGTTGGACTTGTTCCACTTTGTCTTCACATGCTTCTCAAATATACTTATTATTAACTATTCTACAGATGTAGAGGATATTCTACAAAAACATGTTAGAGCAAACGTTTAACATTTACAAACATGAAGGTGAAAAACGCCTGTAATAAGATAGATATTGCAAGATATAAATGTTACCTGGCAAATATTGGATTAAGAAATTCCTCGAATCAGTGAAATTTTATAAAAATATCTCGAGACCTTCCCGCATAGAATCAGCATAATTAAGTGACTTATGATCAGCATCTGCACTGAAAAATATGTTAATATTTATTTTGGTGCTCAGTACGGCGATTATGACGAAGTTTCATATCGTCCGGGAATGCTTGCCAGCGAAGATCTGCTTCCACAGAGAGTGATAGATCAGTACCAAATGACTCCTGAGATGTGGGAGGATAGGATAAAAATTTGGTATGCTGATCATCGTGGCATGTCTAGGGACGAGGCGGAAATGGAATACCTTAAAATCGCCCAGGATCTCGATATGTACGGCGTTAACTATTTTCCTATTAGTGTAAGTGTGAAGAGATTTCGAACGCGGCGAGTCGGTCGTGCGTTCACATCTGAATATAAATTCACGTCGATCGTTACGTTATCACACGTTACTTGGTACGAAGCAAGGATACCGTCGAGGAAGGCGCCACAGCTCTTTGGCTTGTGTTTGCAGAATAAAAAGGAAACGGATCTTTGGCTCGGAGTCACGGCCTTGGGATTAAATATTTATGAGAAGGAGAACAAACTAGCGCCGAAGACCACGTTCACATGGTCGGAGATCCGTCACATCAGCTTCGACGACAAGAAGTTTGTAATCAAACCCGTGGAGAAAACGTCGCCGAACTTCGTGTTCTTCTCGCAGAAAGTTCGCATGAACAAATTGGTAAAGAAACAGTCAGATGTTGGCGGCTGGGTGAAGGGTTTGATAGCTTTAGGGTTGGACGAACATGATAGTGACAAAACTGCTCACGTATTATTTGTTAAGATCCTGGACCTGTGTATTGGCAACCATGATCTATTTATGAGGAGGCGTAAACCGGACTCCATGGAGGTTCAACAGATGAAGGCGCAGGCCAAGGAAGAGAAACAGAGGCAAGTGAGATACACGTACTTTTGTGAAAACGTGTCATGCTTTCATGTCATAATACAAATGTTCTGTGCGGGTATGCAGAGTTATTTCTACGTTAATTAATAATCTATATCAGCAAAGTTTTTAATGTGTGCGTATGTATATAAGTTGAGTTTTAAACGAGCGATATCAACTAATTTTACATTACATAAAGCATTGCTTCCTGAAATAATTAATTAATTATTTACTATTAAAGCTTGTGTAATGTTTCGCTTGCATAACCAATACTATAGTTCTAACAAACGTGTTCCTCTTCCTTCCACAAATTTTATAGGAACTGACATTTTGGCATGTTCCTATTATGTGCTAAGGTCAGTAAATACCTATTTAATATTTATTTATACAGAAATGGTCAGGTAGATATTAACAGATCCTAATGTACGAGAGAAAGAACAAATTACATACATATTTTCATGTACTTTGTAGATAAGATACAAATTGTACTCTGATTTGGCATTCGATGTACAGTTTGATTCAAAATTATATTTTTATCTTATCCTTTCAAGGCATGTGTGTGAAAGTTGTTTAAAAATTCTTGTGTCGTTATCAGGAGGCAAGTCGAAAGAAGTAAACTAGCGCGAGAGAAACAGCTGAGAGAAGCGGCTGAAAGAGAAAAAGCTGTAATGGAACAGCGGCTTCTGCAGTACCAAGAAGAGATTCGACTTGCTAACGAAGCTCTTGTAAGATATCATGAACGAAGAATAATATATATAGACCGATATAATAATAGCCTTGACATCTATCATCATAATAGTAACTACTAGGATTTTTTACTCGTGTCGTGTCGACATATTCGCACAACATGAGTTGAACTCGTCAACGACAAAAAGTTTTGAAAAAGAATAAAAATCTGAACTTCTATACCTCGGCACTTGCCGTACAATATCTATGCTGGTAAGACACATTCGGGATAAACGAAGACAGTATTTTAATTAATTCAAATTACTCGAGAACGGCAGTATCTATACCGATAATACCCAAATCATAGATAGACATCTTCAAGGTTATCTCAAATAAATACAGATTGTTTTATTACATTTGTAGCTCGCCTTGAAGTATGTTTTGCAAATATCTTATAAAAATTTCATTTATATGCGTGGCTATTTTTGGTTGGCGTGTCTTTTGATAATCAATCACTGTGATGTATCAACACGACGCGAGTGACTGGAAAAGCTTACAGTGCTACTAGATGTCAAGGCTCTATTCTACCGGTTGTGTACTAATTATAAATATATAGTTTAATATATTTGGAAATATTTACACTATATATCTCTAGATTGCAATTGATCTCCTGTTTTGTAGAGGAGATCTGAAGAAACGGCAGATCTTTTAGCTGAGAAAAGTCGCGTAGCCGAGGAAGAGGCGATGCTTCTAAGTCAGAAAGCGTCGGAAGCCGAGCAAGAGATCACTCGTATACGGTTGAACAACATGAAGACTGAAGAAGAGAAAGTCCATTTGGAACGAAAAACTAGAGAGGCTGAATTACTAACAGAAAGACTGGTCCAAGAATCGGAGCGCAGAGCTGTCGAAGCGGAGAAGTTGAAGGACGAATTATTACGTGCGAGAATCGCTGAGAAAGAAGCCAAGGAAAAGCTGTTAGAGTTCCTCAGTAGAAACGCTTATAGTGCTACCATACCTGTGAGTAAAAATCTATTCATTTGTTCAGTATGAAATGATCTTTACTTATCGTACTCAATCTTTTGTTTGTATTATACATGTCGAACGCTAGGCGATAGTTGTTATTCGATGTTGTCCAGTTTCTTTGTTTAACGAATATGAAGAGATTTACTAGTACATGCATGACGTAAACTGCCGCATTACCGATTTACAAATTATTTATTCAATTTGCCCGCAGCCTGTGTCGAACTTGTTTCCCTCGACACAAGTTTTACCATCGGACCTACAAGCGGATCTTCAAAATATTCAGCTCGATGCAGAACCTTTGCCTGACCTGCGCTCTTACGATCTCATCGCCGAGGGAGACGTCGACCAACTCTCGTTGGAAATCGAGAAGGAGAGAGTCGATTACTGGGAGAAGAGTAAGCATCTGCAGGAACAGTTAAGAGAGTTACGTACTGAGATTGAAGTTATGAAGGTTGGCGAGAAGCAGTGTGAGTTAGACCAATTGCATGAAGAACAGGTTCGGCTCGGTGAGAACAAGTATAGCACGCTAAAGAAGGTGAAATCCGGCTCTACTAAAGCTAGAGTCGCCTTCTTCGAGGAATTATAATACAAGTATGCGAAATATTCTTCCGTAAGAACTTCTTTGAGGCGGCAATGCCGATTGGATCCCCTCCTCTCTGAATGTTGAATAAAGTACTAGTAAAATTCTCTCAATCGAATTTGAAAATCGTGCAAAAATTATGCGTGGACACGTACGTGCGTATACGTTATAGAATACTCAAACGTACGCTTATACACGGAATGTTTCATTGCTGCCGGATGTCTTGAATTCGTACCTTCTGGAGGAATCAATATATCTTTAGGCAGAGTTAATATCTTAACGCGTGAAAGTTGTAGAAAATGGATAAAGTGATCTGCTTTTACGGACAGCACGTATTGGAAATTATTGTCGATGACGACAAAGCGTTCCCGTCTGATTGACTTCTGAGCGAAATTTGTATCTTATTGTATCTTATAGATTTTATGTAAACTACGATTTACAAATATTTATTTAATATTGACGTGTATAATTAATCGACTGTGGATTTGTTGAAGAATCTACTATTGTACCAGGACTCAGTGCGGTGCTGATGGAACATTCTGTGTACACACAATATGTATATTTTACATTGTTATAAAATGCAGCGTGGCAGGTGAAATCTGCATGCTAGCGGATCAAAGTACGTAATCGTTCGACTCGCCTGTGGAAATGACGCGAAACAAATCAAAATGAATGCGCTATTTTCACCTAAATACGTATATAAGGTCGGTGTCATATATGCTGTACCATTCTGTAAACGAAAAATTACATGATTTTCAGCCTTACATATAACATGTAAGGTTAAATATTGTGTAATGTTCGATCTAGGAAATGATACAAAGGACTTCATTAATGCTGTCTCATTTTTTAGACATAGTGACATTGAACATTTCCAACATTAGACGTGCTATTTTTTAATATTTGCATATTATTAATTAATTGTTTTGAATCATCGTTGCTGATTCATCAAATTATCAACAATCATGATATACGAATATTATTCGCACATAATTCATATTTTGAATTTACTTTTATCGATAAAAGTGTCTTAAGTGTGGTTTCTCAGCCAATCGGGTGGTTCCTAAGCTATTTTTAGACACCTTTATCGATAAAAGAGAGTTCAGAATACGGGCCAATGTATCTGATTAATAGAGTCTTCTGTACAGTATACATGATGCCGACCGTACGTATCCGTTTTAATATGTATATGTATACTTATAAATTCGAGCGGGGACGTTTCATATCTGGTATCGTCTCCAGTTACGTCTTTTTATCTTGCACGCTTATCGAACACGTTTAATGTTTTTGGCAATATATACACAAGGAGATACAAAATTTTTTAAGAGAATTCTATTTTTTATAGAAATGTAATATATGTTTTTCTATTTTCAAATTGTAATTCTGGTTGCGTTCAGCAAAATACAATCGCTTCGCAACGGAATACTGACTTTTCTGTTTTCTTCTGCGACACGTTTATTTTTATCTTCCAAAGAATCGGAAATATTTCTCGTATTAATGCGTATTAACGCGTTCAAACGTGTTGATTGTCGTCCGCCGATAGTTCAGTTTAGGCGAATTATCATAGCAGCTCGAGAGAATACAGCAGAATAATTCCAATCGTTTCAATGCATAACGAAGCGTTACATTCTGTCGAACACAGCCATTGTCTCCAGGGATCAATTAAAGTCAATTATAGTGCTTCACGAAAACTGAAATGTAACAGCTGAAATCTTCACACACGATGCTTGATCTTGATATTATATTGCAGTAAAAACGACAATGCATAGTATCGTAAAGTAAATATTGAAGTTGCAAGGCTCTTATTTGATTATAGAATGACTGCCGATTTCTTCTTGAGGCTTCTTATCCATACTTGTCGCATAACTGTTTGCATGTTTAACGTATAAGAACACACGACAGATGATTCGCGCATTTATCATTCGCCCTAAATGCTCATGATTACTTCAATGCAGGCTGTATATGAAATATTTACAGTCCTACATAAAACATGCCACGACAAAATAATGAATATATTATCGGGAAAATATATTTCTGTTTATATGTGTGTATATAAGAGTTCCTTCGTCTATATCTCTCACCTCACTTCACCGTCACTCATGAGCCAAATTCGCATCGTTATCTGTGATTCATTTTGCATCATCATAAACTCGAGCATCGACAAATTTTTTTTCGCGTTCGTCAATTTCGGCAAAGTGCTACGATTTTTAACCAAATTCTGCACTTTAATCGGCCCCTGTACAATTTGTATCATATGAATACATTGGATTTCAAAGGAAAGTAACGTCGATCAGTATTGTATGTGACATAAGAGAATGTACCTGCGAATATTATAATTTCGGACTAACTTTCTCGGTTTAGCTATTAATTGGTATTTGAAATTTATGTATTGGACATATTTCCGTTAATTTTTGACTCGAAGTTTGTAAATAGAGAAAGCGATAAATGTCTATTGGCACTTTTTACAACGCACAATATTCTAGATACAATTAGCAGTTAGTACTGATATTCGATATCTAATGCATGACTGTTTCCGGTATGATTACACATATGTACAATAATTGTAAAGTGACATTGTGTCATTATCGGCACTAGACATTGGTCCAAAAAATACGATAAATATTTGTATGATATTTTCGGATAAGCTCCATTGATAAGTAAATAAATCGGTGAGATTGCAAAGTGTCAACGAAAGTAAAAGCTGACAGAAAACAGGAGAGATCGATCGACGTTTTTGTGTCGCAAGCAAGAATAAAATTCTCTCCGAGTTGTAACTATATTACATATTCCATTACATATTCTTAAGAATAATGTGCCTTATTACATTATAATGTGTCTTAGACAGTTGTATTTTTTTAGAGAGCGTTATTTGTACATAATCGGTAGTCACACTGTGAGTACTTTCACTGCATTAGCAATTCAATGTTCGAAGCATCGTGCATTAATACATCGAAATTACTCTGGAATGTTATTTGTTGCCGTTCTCCGACTCGGCGTACGTAATTATTATGAACTTTACGATAACGATATTATTTTAAAATTCTAGGTCGCTATATATTTCATCGAAGTGTAAGTTTGTAAAGATTATATTTATAGTCATTAGAATTTAGCGGTTAGAAGCGATTAGAACCTTGCCATTTAATATGCTGAGAAGTCATGAGAATAAAGTTTGTTATTTTGAGAATAAGAGATTCCCTTTATTTGTCCAATATATTCTGTACAATATATAATGAGCGAATAATCCGACACCTTCTTGGAATAGTGATGTAACGTACGATTGATTTAAAAAAACGGTACTTGCGCTGTATTTACACTCGAATTATTTTACATGGAATAGCCTATATATATAATACATGTTAGCTAAGAAACATAGATTATTCTATGCATCTATGTAGAGACGCACTAAATCGTCCTCTGTGGCAGGGTAATGCGTCACCGGGCATCTTTTGTTTTCGCGTATTTCCGGTAAAATGCATTGGTAGCAAAAAACAAAACTATAAAAAAGAGTTGAATCAATCTAATCGATATTCGCATATTCTGTAATATATATGCAGTACTTGGATAACGGAATCGTGTGCTTACCCAGATACCATAAGCACCGTGTGTACACGCTGAGGCATGTGGCAAAGCGGACAGGTACCCTTGTATCGTAGCGCTGTTTCTGGCACCTATTGAAAAGTAGAATAAATGTCAGAACAATGTTACAGTTTCGTTCGTAATTCGAATATCCGATGATTGTGTTCATTTGTTACATTCGGAGGTGGTGGTGATGGAAGACTCATGATGTCTGTCATATAATTCTCTTGATTCCACCATGAGAGAAACTGTAGGAAGAAAGCCCCAAGTTCGAGGAAGCGAGTAACGATTCTTTGAAATAAGTCCCATCCGTCGTCGGCGGAGAACGAATTTTGCTTTATTTTACTCAGCAAATCCATGATAGTGTCGGTGGACTGTGGTTTGGAATATGTCAATGTGATGCGTAGCAGCCTTAACAAGGATGATGGGTACATTGACTCTTCTGATATGTAAAGTATATAACGGTACACCTCTAAAGTTTTGTACAATGTGAAGAAGATTAAGTGTCCTTTAATGACACATTTGCGGAAGAGCTTCTTCAATTTCTGTAACAATATTTAATTTTGTTTATATAAAAGATACTGCTTGGTGCAATGTCTTTAATATTTATGAGAACTTTGTTTACATATTATACTTGCCCCTTGAGTCTCGCAATTATCTGCTTCTTCAAATTGATACTTCAAGCTGAGTTGTGCAAGCTTGTTTTTCAAGTATGGTAACATCACAAGCGATATCAATGATAGCATCTGTTGTCGGCGCGATAGATTTCCTTCAAGTTTTGAGTCAACTACCGCAATACGTTTCAGACCATAGAATGTTTCAGAAAAGGATGCAGCTGAAAATAAACGAGAGAGAAATTCTGCTATTCTAGAGAAAAAGGATTATCTTGCTTCAAAAGTATAGTATAATATAAAGATATTTACAATACTTCCTCAAGTAATATCTCTGGAGAAGTGCGTTAAAAAGCAAATAGCCCTCATCTTCCCATTGAAGAATATGTCCATATCTTTCAAAATTGAAAGATATGAGAAACTAAAATTGTTAAAAATTTATACGATGAAAATCTTGAGATGTAATGAAAACAAACATACATGTGATTTCTTTAAGATACTTTTCAACTTTCTAAAAAGTAAATATAACTTGATGATTGATCACGAATTTGTAATAAATCTCATTTTTAAGTCAATATTTTTACAGTACGTTGTGAATGCGTTGCATTGCGAGAAATACCTTGTACAATACAACGTACCGAAAGAATCTTTTTGAAAGCTGGTTCAAGAGTAGCTGCAAGTGATTTCTGCGCAAGAATTTCAAAAAGAGTGGGCCTGTTGTACACGGTTCCAGTTAAATAAGCACCCTTTTCCGCCATGTTATTATTATTTGGAAATCTATTTGTCAATCTTTGCTGCGAGAATTAAACTAACCCGAATAAATATTCGTCAAACGATATTAACACAGGTTTGTGTTGACACAAACATATTATCTATTAACAGTTTCACTGCTTTTGACGGGATAAAATATATTCTCGCGATTATCACGAAATATTGTGATTCGCATGCAAAACATACTTGTCATGTATTCATCACAAAAACAAAGTGTAGATCCTCTGCACTATCTGTACCTTTTACATTTACCTATATTTTTTTAGAGAATTCAAACTTAATTATAAAAAAAAGTATTAACTTTTAATAATTGTTATTTGGAAGTAAAAGAACTTCCTCTAATTTATCGTTCTATTATTTGAAAATAAAAACCGTCCGATCGGCCGTTGACTTATACCACTCGAAGATAAAAGCCCGACTCACCTGTTGTTCAGCTGTACTTTATAGTTAGTGGTGACGACCTAGCCTTAACCTAGCCTAACCTGTATAGTGTGATCTGTGTATTTTTGTACTATTGTTTCCGTAAATAACAGATAGTTTACGTAGAAAGTTAGGCGCAATAAGTGAGGTAACGTTCAGATCCTGACGATAATAGTTGTGAGATGCTTCGAACATCGAATGTTATCATTGCAGATGCAACATGATATCCATTTAAGGCCGTCGACGCTGATCGAGGTAACAACTGTTGGATCAACAATAACGTGACCGTTTCTCGTTATTGACTGTCACGATCTATTGAAAAGTATGTCTGGTAAGGGGAAGCAAAGCTCGAAGAAAGCTGTCGTCAAGGGACGCGAGTCCGGCAAGACCGCGCAGTCTTCGCTGGTGAATCACACGGACACCAGCGGGGCGGAAGCTCCTGAACCGATGATGTCTCTGACAGTTCTGAAAACAGTCGACAACAGCCGAGACCTGCCAAAATATACCGAACTGTTGAATCGTACAGAAGAGGAGGGTATACAGAAGGAGGACATTGATGCGTTACAGTTGGAGTTGGAGATGCTTCTGTCCTCGGCCGTCGTACGGTGTCGTACGCTTCAAGAGGAGATCACCAACTTGTCGTCAGCGGAGGAACGTCGAGACAGACGGTCGAAAAGCGGCAAGAGTCTGTCACTGCTCGACAAGAAAGTGCGCGAGGAGAAGCTCAAGCCGAAGGAGATCAGTACCAAGAGCCAGTCGCCTCTGCACACGAAACTGTTCAAACAAAAGGCGGTGGGGAACTCGGCGAATCAGGCAGTGCCGAGCGTACATGAGATCGCGAGGATCGAGGGGACGAAGGACGCCCCGAAGTTGCTCTTGCCGAAGAACGACACGCCTAACAAGTTCTGGGCATCCGTCGATCCCTATTGCACCGACATCATGCCTGACGATATTAAGCTGCTGGAGGAATTGATCGTTACCCATGGCGACACGAGTGATTTTAAGAAGATCCCTCAGCTGGGTCGCCACTACAGTCTGATGTGGGCGCACAACGATCTGTTGCAGGAGGAGGACGCGGCCAACCCGAGCAGGGAGAAGAAGAAGAACCGCACGGACGTGTCGCACTTGATGTCCAAGGGCGACAAGAAGGTCAACAGCATCGGCCCGCTCACTCAGAGACTGGTCTCGGCGTTCCTCGAGGAGAACGTATATATAGGGAACAATAACACGGAGAACAAATTGCTGCGGGACGGGGACTCGACCGTCTTGAGGGACCTGAGCATACAGAACTCCATGAACCTGGAGCTGCGGATGCACAAGGAGTTGGTCGAGCAGGGCATCCTGGAGCCGGACGCGCAGAAGAAGAATCAGGAGGACGACGAGATCCTCGCCGAGATCAAGCGATGCCAACAGGAGCTGTCCGCGTTGTCGAGTCACAACGTCACGCAGCTCAAGCGGCTGCTGAACTTGGCGCAGGAGGAGAGCAAGAGGCAAGCGTTGAAACGGAAGATCAGCGGTGCGGACAACGAGGTGATAGAGCATTACAAAAAGTTGACCCTCGCGAAACAGATGAAAATGCCGTTGACGAAAAAGGACCAGGACAAGGCGTGGGCGTGTCTTCGTGCGAGGGAAAATCTCTTGGAGCAGTTGAACGTTACCAAATAATAACTCGAGAGAGTTCACTGGCCGTTTGGCTGGCGTTTTTAGCATAATTATAGGATATTTCTTACACAGATACACACATACACACACAACACACATCAGCACACGTGTGTGTAGTGCAACCACCACGTGTCGTGGTGCTATGTACTAGAGATTCCCGCTTTACCGCAAAGTTACGATGTCCCATGTGATGGTCGTCAAAAAAGTACGACGTCGTAAGTCGTTGAATGAATGCTCGTGTTCCAAGAAATACGTATAGATGTAATGAAAGAATAAATGGTAATTCAGTTTAGGGTAATCAGCTCAAATTGCTTTGACCTTGAAATATATTGTCAAAACCATTGTTCTAAGTAATATTCAAAAGATTTTAGCTGTCGCTCATTGTTTGTTGAAAAATTATAAGCAAAAGAAGTTTCATAAATATGGCCCAGCAAACGCATATAACTGTTAGTATAATTTCCTACTCAACGCGCGTTATATAATAGTTACATTATTGAGTAGGAAATTATAATTAAAAGGTATGTTGCATGTTACGTTGTGTTTGTTGGGGATGTAGTCTTCTGACAATATATATATATATATATATATATATATATATTAATTATTATATTATATATATATATATATATATTAAAAAACAAGTGTAGTGTAGGGAGTTTGAAGAAGCTATGAAGAAGCGCAGTGTGTGAGTAAAACAGTACACATATTGCGCGCGGAGGGTCTTCACCCTCTTGTTTCCTTGTCAAATGTCACGTTAGAAAAAGCCAATAGACATACGAAACGAGAATTTTATTCACTACATTACTAGATTTACTAGATTAGGAAACAAAAGGGTAAAGTTAGGTTAGTTTTTACAAAGAGGAGAGACGAAGTCTCTCCTCTTTGGAAGTCCATAGCATCTGCGTAAACGTATGTATAGTTTTATTTATACATTTCGATTTTTCATAAGCCCCCTATACTACTTATTTTTTAACGCATGCAATGTCGGAAAACATCGTGTTATTTATCAAACCTTTTGTTATATAATAACTTTTTAATAAACAAGGTCAAGGCCATCGAAATTGACTCCTTTAAACTGAATAATTACTGAAAAAAGAATCGCTTGCGTATTGTGATAAAAGTTCATTAACATAACACGAATTTAGAATCTAGAATCCGCTACACACCAAATTCGAACAAACGTACGTACATACATACGATATTTTGTTAGCGCGTACGATATTACACAATTGATTCTTGGATGTATCCGATGTGTGGAAAAGTTTCAAATTCGAGATTTCGAGCATGAAACCGCGATTCATTTTTATGAAGAAATCTCGCTCGGGATAATGTATATCGATACATTGACTCATCCGACCCCTATGTATATATATTTATCATCGGTAATACATTTGATATAAATAACTCAGAGGCCAATGCATTACCGATGATACATTCAATCCGTGAAAAGTGAACATAAAAGAATATATCATTGGTTAAATGAATATATTCTTTTAATTGTATCGCGGCTTCTCGAAAAAAAAGATAACACTTTTCTGCGTTCGCATGACTGAATGGATTCCGCTTCTAAATTCGAACCCGGCAATCGACGTACTGAATTCATAAAGCTTGCCGCGAATCACGCACACCAGCAAATATCACCACGCGGGAAAAATCTCGCCTCTTTCCTCGGAATTCGTTTCGTCAAAACGTCATTTCTCATCGCCAGAATCAATTACTCGTCAATATCTTTCTTTAACGTAGAGTTTTTTAGCGTTAGAATTTGTGTAAATAAGATATTAGTATATATGTACGTTATACAGGCATATATATATTTTAGGATTCGCCCCTACGTGTACACATTAAGAGTTGTGGCTATAATGTCTAAGACTAGATTGGGCTTTTTGGTTCATAAGCATAAGTTTGATCGTTACGTGTCTATTTTGAACAACGAGAATGCAACTCTTGATTACGCTCTAAAGATATTCGAGTACATGTACGAGGGGTGAAGAGAGTTTAAGTACATCAACGTAAAACCGACGACTTTTTTTTATGTCACCGACTTTATCTTAACATATTAGCCGTTACATTCATAATCGTTCTTCCGGAGAATTTACTGATTATCATTAATTTAATTGCAAGATATCATGACGATTCGTACGCGTGTACGATTTAGACTAAACGCATTTAAATAATTTCGGATATATTATAGCTGTACAATATATCGCAATCTGATAAATAAATTATGTAAGATTTATACTTACAAGAGAAAATCTAGTGAAAAATAGTGTCCCCTTCCGATTTCGATGCGCTTCGGATATTGTAGAAGAAACAAGAGTTCGATCGAAATAAGAGTTGCGTATTTCTTATATGAATGTTGAAGCGCAAATGTGGAGGATGAAACACCCTTCCGAAAAAAAACTTTTTTTATTTGGATATTGATCATTATTGTTTGGCATTCGTAAACCACTGGAGGAGGATCATTTTGTGACCGAAACGCTATTGTTACTATATTAATGCTATCTGTTACTATACGCAAGTTGCGTCTCAATAACTGCGGTAGAGCTTTTACTTGCCGTTCCTTTTCGCGTCGAATTTGGTCTACCAGAGTTAACCGTTATGCATTATAAAACCTATTCTTTTTAGATAATTTACATGACACGATATATAGATAGACTTATACGTGTTTAATTGTAAGAGGTATTAGAGAATAAGAGAATCGGCAGAAGGAAATCTCCAAACGAGCGTTTACAAAGAAATCCACGGTTCCACGACAAAGATGTTTATTCGGTATCACTGTACAGTTTTTTTTTCTCTTCGTCAGGAGTTACCTTAACAACGTGCGTACGCGACGGCACAACAATGATGATGAATATCCCTTCGGATAACAAAGATCTTCGAAAAAAGTGTATTAAGTCGCATTTAGAGAACATTCTCTAACCACGGTGAATACAGAGTACGTGCGTGTATGGATATGCGGGGTGAGAGGCGCTGTCGTTTTCTTTATCTTTTCTTACTTTTTTAATTCCAACTTTCAGCATCGTCGTCATTCGTTCATTACACTGACATCCGTTTAATGTGATAACAATGTGAGTTGTTTTATACGCTACATGAGAAACAGTAGGCCATGAAATAATTACTGAAACAAGCTGACAAGGCTTGGATTGGGCCGAGACGGTCCGTGCACGGTGACTTGTGCAATTGCGCCTTGATATACAGTACAGCTTTTTTCGCTCATTGTCGCACCGTCGCACCCCGAATCCGAACCACAAATTCGAGCTTCCCTAATGATTTCATGGCATCCCGCACACCAGAGACAGCCGCCGCCTTATGGTTCAATTTGGAGCCAGATGACGCTGCCTTGGCAGTGACGCACTAAAAACTATATCAGCAATTTCTTATGCGGATATTGTGGCTTAGAAGGCGAATAGGAGCAGGAAAGCCATCATAAGACAGAAGAGACCCATGGCCTCAGACAGGGCGAAGCCCAGGATGGCGTACGAGAATAGTTGCTGCTTTAAAGATGGATTCCTGGCATAGCCGATAATCAGCGAGCCGAACACCGATCCTATTCCAGCACCTGGAACAAGCAATTTGCCAAGTCAAGAATGGATACTATCGTCCTCCCATCTCTCTCTTTCTCTAACGCGTAACGAGCGAAAGAATTTCATTCAGTGCACTGACGTTAGTAGGATACTGTGCCAAACTGTGCTGTTTATATGACGCGTATTACATAACAATTATATATGCGGGCATTCTACTTATTGATTAGGCGCGATGGATAAAAATATGTATAATAACTTCATTTCCATGACGGGGGGAAGGGTGGAGGAGGATCTTTCCCGAGGAGTTGGATTTAAAGGGCAATCAGTATGAGGAACGCTATCAGCCAAAAGGGGCCCATCGCTTCTGACAGCGCAAATCCAAGGAGAAAACTTGTTGTTTCAGGGAGGGATTACGTGCATAGCCCATTATTAAGCACCCAAAAACCAAACCAATACCAATCCCTATAATGCAATAACTTCTTTAAATTAACAACACCTTGAAACAATGTGATATTTTTGAAAAAAATACTTTGTTAACTATACATATTCATCATTCACATTGTGTTAAGAAGAGATTACAGAGTTAGTATATTAGCAGTTAAGTATATATTAAACTTAGTATGTTATATATATTTAGTATACTAAGTCAACAAGGGAGTAAGTTGAAGCCTATATTATTATTACTGCACACTGTTATACTATTAGGTTTTATCACTACTGTCATATCTTATTTATGGTTAGCAAATTTCGTGCTGTTACTGCAAGGGATTTCCTCCACAATTAGTGCTATAGACTTATATATACGTACCAGATCCTGCTACTCCTACAGTGGCAGCACCAGCGCCAATGAATTTCGCAGCCGAGTCAATGTCACGACTGACTGTGGAGGTTTGGAAGTTACGTACGACTGGTAACTGTACCAAAATGTCACAAGTTAAATACCATCACGATATTCACCTATATTAATCGATAAAAATATCAAGTTATATACTTTTACAAATATAACATCGCTTGCATAAGACTGTTATGCTTATTATAACTTCAACACGTAGACTTCGAAGCATGAATTACAATATGTTCCAAAAATACCAAATCTTTGTAAAATCAATACCCACGGCCAATCGATACCCAATTAAAAGTTGATACGTGTTTCATTTAATATTCATTGCGCGAAATGTCGAAGCTTCATTGTCAATGAACAAGCAACGGCGATCTACACTTCCCTCCTGGCGATAAAGTCCCGAAGTCTCGTAAATGTCGAGGTGCTACGTTCAGAAATCGTGTCGCCGAGATCGAAAACCTTTACCTCGATCGATGACTTCGGTCGCTTATGTAACCTTGATCGCGAAAAGGTTATGCAATGGACAGGGGGAAGAAAAGAAGAAGCGAAGTTTCACTCACCAAACTGACGGGTGGCTGAATTTGATCCTGCTGTAAAGACTTGCTATGGCTGATTACCGCACTGCTCAACGGCCGCAGATAGGTCTTGCTGCCGGAGACCAACTGTATGACACCGACGAGAGGGGAAAAAAAGAAGAAGAACAAGCGGGTTAAAAGAAAACCAATTTCGCGCGAGTGGGTTATTATATAATAACGCGCACGAGGGGCAATCGGTCGGTCTTCCGATATGCCTCCTCTTTTCTTTCTTTCCTCATCTATACTCACAGTAGATTTGGTGACGGGCGCGATGAATCGGCTACAGGCGTACATGATGATGTTTTACTGTGGTGCGCGGACTCTACGAAGGCTACCTGGAAAAAGGCACGGAAATGCGAACGGTTACGGCTGACGAACGCGACAGCGCAACTTCCACTGCGAGAATGCCGTGAAGCTGGCCGCGAAAGAGAGAGAGAGAGAGAGAGAGAGACGGCTCTACACGCATGCACGGACGCACGCATGCACGTATAAATCGAACCGGAGCGCCGTGCATTACGTAACACGGGCGACGTTGTCGGTCGACGATTCCTCGAGCCCGAGCTCTCGCTCGCTCACTCGCTCACGATCGGCTTCAGTCGCACAGCGGAGTAATGTACCGTCGGGACGACGGAAAACGTCGACGAGAACGACGTCGGCGATCACTGGGCGACGAGGGCTCGCGACACGTTTACGATAGGAGAAAATGGCCGCCTTTCCTCCACAAGAACCTCCATACCGCGCGACTCGGATCTCGATTGAATTGACCGAACATGCACGATCGAGCCGCGCTCTTGATAACGTCGCGGTCGCGAGCCGAGCTTTCTGTCAGAATGGTCACGCCCCGACATCAAACGGCGAACGGACGGATTTTACTCACTTGCCAATGCAGCGGGCGGTCGCACTTACCGAAGAGTAGTGTCGAAGAGAAGCGACAGGAGGACCCGGCCCTTGGAATGTTGAATTGAGTATGAGTGGAAGTGAGCGTGTATGAATGCGCCTGCTGCGTAAGGATCGACCGACCTATCCCGTGCCGCGGACACTGACGGAACGAACCGACTTCCGTGCAATGACCCATTCGTCGCTTCCGAGCGGGATCCCGACCGCGTTATCGACCAACCGAATTTAGCCGAGTCCGACCTACCGTCCGCAGCGGCTGATCAGTGCAAGCATTCGCTGCGAATTCCGCGACGAATCGCCGACTGTTCGCTCTCGTTATTCCCGAATGTAAAATCGCGATTCGCCGAGCAGAATCGCTGTTTAAACGAACGGATGGAAATCGGATCGACTCGTGGCTCGTTTCGGGTCTCTCCCTTGATTCACGTTATCCGCTCTGCTGCGTGAAGTTGGCAGCGAAACGCGAAGGGCCGTGAACGCAGTTGGAACTTGCCCGATTTCGTCGGACCTGTTCATCATCATGGGAATATATGGACGGTGGAGCTGAAATTAACAGGGGGGAGGGAGGAGTACGAAAACTTCGGGTAGTTTTACGACGTGTTTTGAACTTATTCGGGTTCGTTGTTGTATAGGTTTTTAATGAAAGTATAATATTTTATTTGTTGAATTGAGGCAACATTTTCGGACGCATTTGCTACGCTCTCCGAGATCGATAATGCACTTTGACATTTGACGGAAGAGAAAGCTAAGGGAAATATAATGTTCGGTTACGTTCAATTAATTAGTTTGAAGCGCTCACAAGAGTCGCTATCATCGGGTGCGTTCAGAAAAAACGATGGTTGTATAACCGTAGAGTGATTGTCGTTTTTGATTGAAATGTTCTTTTAGATATGTAATAAATCTAAGGAAATATTCCAATGGCAGCGAGCACTTATTTAAACATGTTGTGTTTCCTGAAGGTCGATTGTGTATCTGAAAATGTAGTGAGAATTACGATCATGCATACTAGACGCGATGAGCGATGAGCAGTATTCAATAAAAGTTCTTAATTTTCAAGAAAAACGGGACTTTTATTGAATATCAAAAATGAGCGTATTTATCAGAGCATTTATAATTTCATTAGTCAATATCTAGTGAATTTGCTCACTTTTGTCATTTTCAATACCTTCAAGCCGAATCTACAATAGGTCTAGCAACTTAAGTCGTAAGAAATTTACCAATCACAGACGAATGTGAGAAAAATAATCAATTGTAGACCTGACTTTACATGTGGTTAAGATCTAGTTCACACGAACTCTTTTCATGTTTCCGTATCTAGAGAAAAGTTACACGATCGCTACTCTAAATAGTGATCATATTATTTTCCTTTCACATGTAGACTGCCAACTACGAGATAGCTCGTAGGTTGTTTACTTGCCCAGGACGCCAACTACGAGTTATCTCGTCGCTTCATTACTTGATTAAATCAAATTGGCTTCTTAGACCAGAATCGTGAAAAGTTCCGTGGCAGTCAACGTGTTAAGGCGAAAATATGAAAAGATTCACGTGAAATCAATGACTTTAGCAATTATGTAACTTCTTGCCCAATGAAAATCTGGAACTTAGCGTTTCCATTTTTAAAGAAAAATTACATGATAGTCGTCCTTAGGGTGAAATCCGGAAGTATTCATGACGTTACATTTACCGATAGAATGTCCCAATGTGGATTGCACTCAAAGGCCAGTGTTCATAATTGGATCTTGCATTTAATGCCGGTTTTCATAGTCGGATCTTACATTTAAGACCGTCTCAAATTCATCTTCGGATGTTTCGTAACCAATGAAACGAGCTTTATTTTCACGCTGATTTATTTGCTGGGTGCAAAATATTGCATTCCGATTGGTGTATTTCCATTCACTTTCGGAAATGCACCAATCACAACGCAGTATTTCCCAGCGAGCAATCTCAACACGAAAAAAAAGCACCGCCGCCGGCTTAACGTGCGAAGATCCATGGGAGTACAAAAAAGTCCATCATCGTAACCGAGTTTTGCTGTTCTCGATCGCTCTCGACCGACGTTCAAAACGACATGCTGAAAAAATGTCACCAGACCGCTCACTTCCGGCTCACGATGGCAAGATGGCGGGCCTCCTCCTCCGCCGGACTTTCTCCTGAGAGTCTCTAGATCGCAGTAGATCCTTGCTCGCGGAACGCGCAGAGTAGCGCGATCATGAATTAGAAAGCGATCGCGCGCGGCAGACCGCACAATTCCTTCCGGTGCGCGGCAGAACTCGACGGGGCACATGTTATTACGACGCGACCGCTCCTCGCGATCTTCGTCCGCCAAATTCGGTAGAGCCTCGTTGCCCGCCGCCGAGTGTTCCGCTTGTTGCACAGTTGCCTAGGCGACTAACGTGCGTGCGAGTGCGTGTTCTCGGTGTTGCGTACGTGCGTAACGCGCGTGTGCATGTGTTCGCCTCGTGGTAGTTGTTCAACTCGTCGTTGGCCGCGTTCACACGGAGTGCTATGATAATAGACCGCTCGCCGTTAGGACGCCGACTCTCGCACCGTTCCAGCGCCTTCCTCGACGCGTCGATGTCCCGTGGCGCGGAAGCCTGAAGGAAGGTTGTTATTATGGATTACCCGGTGTTGGGCCACTACGATCCCACCGCAGAGACCACGGCTGGTAGCACCTGCGAGGACCAGCAAGAGCTGCTATGTGAGTGCCCATACTGTTCCTCGTATCTCGCGCCGTCTCCCTCTCGTCTCGGCTGCCCTCCGCCGTCTCGAGTAAAACCCGCCAAATGGACACGCGGCTACGTTCCCGTTGTTCCTCGAGCCGGCATCTCTTCCGGGAAGTTTCTCTATTCGCGCGATCAGCGCTCTTTGTCTCGCATCTCCGGCGCGCAGCATCTCTGTTTCCAGACGCTGCCGCGTATGGCGACGCGCATGCATGTGTTGCACTTCATCAGCTGGCGTCGTGTATCAGCTGTTCCTCCGATGTGCGGAGACGCAACTTCGCTCTTAGCGGACGTTTCGTTAGTGCCTCGCGAAGAACGGTGTTTCACGGATGAATGTGCCGATTGGGACGGACGGTTAGATCTGGCTTATCGTTTTATTATAGGATAAATAATTTTCGTATTTTTCCCATCTGGTATTCTGTTAAGGTTAAAGCGGAAAGACCGATCGGTTAAGAGTCGATTAAGTGGTTAATTGGTCAGTTAATTAATGTGGGATAAATCAGTTTGAATCAGCACTGTTCAAGCGTGTCGCACATTCTGCGTCTATTTTGCTGTTATATCCCAGTAGAAAACTGCGAAATATTTTAGAATAGGCTCAGTCTCCGTCTACTCGTAGAAATTGTTAGGATCTGTTTTTTTTTACTCTGCATATTTTATTGCTACGTTTAATTTGCTTTTATCTTATTTCGTGGAAAATCTAAAATATGAATATTTTAAGAGAAGAGAAATCTCACAAAGCTATAATTATAAACAGAAATATGAAATGATTTCGGTGTCGTTAGAAGAATCGTCACACTTGTCTCACTTTTGAGATAATGTACGCCAAAGGTATGGACCGTGATTCAATTTTCAACTGGTTCTCATTTCAGGGGAAGGAACTAATTATGTCTTGCCCGGAGATGAGTATGTACCTGCGGCGGAGCAGTTCGGAGAAGATTTTGCCGGGGCTGAGTTTCGCGAGACTAGAACGTTGCTCGCCGATGGCGGAGATAGATTTGGAGTTTCCACTGCCACTTTCGATACGATTGAGGAGCTTATGTGGATGGGGAATCAAGGGGTACACAATATTATTGATTCAGGGCTGCTGCAGACCGCGACCTATGCGAACCCCTGTGGCTTTACTGTTGTCAGTAACACTGATTCGTTATAGGGTCATGTAACGTCTTACTATGGGCCTGGTTTACAAAAGTACACCTCTTTTCAAGTCCACGCGACTCAGGAGATACGGCAGATTCATCCTGTGGATGAGGGGATCTTAGTGTTGTCGCAGAGTCAGCTGAGGTGTCAGTTGCGGCGGGGCATACCGATATTTACGCACACGTATGTTGACCGTCTCGTATATACCGACCGGAGATATCACGGAGAGAATAGGTTTTTCAGCGAGAATCTGGGAATTGTTGTAGGTCGTTGAACATGAACGATATGCAGTGCATGTTACAAATCTCACCGACCAGGCTGCTCATGGGCGGACATCAGGAAAAGATAATCGATTTTAATCTCACCACGGGGAAAGAGACTGGATTAGTAAGGATTCGTTAGTTGAATGTCAAGCGGACCCTCCCCCTTCCCTCGAACTCCCTTACAGCATTGCCAATTGTAGGTACAAGTAGGAGAACACGGTTGTGCGATATTGCGGCAGCACAGTAGACTTATTTGCGCGGGGAATCCCGCGGGAAGGATAGATCTCAGGGACCCAAATACATTAACGGTAGAGCATACTTTCGACACGCATAGCGGCTCCCTCAGTGATTTCGATGTCCAGGGCAATTATCTCGTTACGTGCGGATTCAGCAACAGGTGAGACACAAAGACGAGAATCGGGAAGGCCTCGAGCTACTCGAGAATATTCACCGAGCGTATCGTTTATTTAGCCGTCAAGGCCTCGCTGTTGATCGCTTTTTAATGGCCTATGATCTGCGACAAATGAGAGCGTTGAGTCCGGTGACCACTCTGGTATACCCCCTCTTACTGAGATTCCTACCGAGTTACTCTAGTCGGCTCGCGGTGGTCTCGCCCTTGGGACAAATGCAGTTGCTCGATACGATATACGCAAATGTACAGCCATCGATGACATGCTTGTATCAGGTTTGTAGATTTGTCATGTCATGCACGCTAGGACGTAAGGAGACTTAATTGAAGTGTGCAGAATAAATAGATATGTGTGCGCGTTTATTACTAGGTTGCTACCGGCGGCGCGATGATATTGTCATTTGACGTAGCTTCGACATCTCAGTTTCTCTGCTTCGGGGACGCGGCGGGTTCGATACATCTAATGTCCACCAACAACCCGGAGCCTCAATTTAACACGTTTTCTAGGTCAGCAAATATATATTTCTCCTTTGGAATAAATGAATAAATTACCATGTATTACTTGCAAAATTATGTTTTTCTCTCAGAGTTCATACTATACAGGGTGTCCCGGATCAATATGGATAAACTTCGTGAGAGCGTAGAACAGAGATGAACAAAAATGTCCTCACGAAGTTGATCTATGTTGACTCTGGGACATCCTGTGTAAAATATATGAATATATCTATGAGATTAAATGAGAAGTAATATTTTTCGTTTGACCAATCGCACGGTCGGGAGAAATTTTGTCTGTAATAAAAATGTATATTTTGATTTTAATTAGGCCTACGGAATTTGCCGATCCGGTCGAGACATTGCAACCTATTCCGTTCGATGATGACGTTACGCCGCTTAGTACAATACCAATAATGTATTCTGAACAACCACTTCTGAGTGATTGGCCGGAAGAATTTCTAAAAAAAGTTTATAGGTATGTGCGCGAGTTATGCAAGTTTCGTTCGTACACGTAGTATGTAATCGGGATGAAAGTTCACGCGTTGTATAAACGCTTACGCTTAAGAAACGAATAAGATTTTTGTTCGTTCGCAGGAAAACTCCGCCGATCGATCCCGAAATTTTGCGCACAATGAAGATGCAGGGAACAATTGGATACGCGCCGAATCCTCAGGCTTTTCGCCGAAATCAAGTGAGGAAACAATATTCACCCACTCTACTACAATATTCTCCTCCGTCTCTTCTTAAATTACCTTGAACTCCGTTCACACATCCTCTCGACGATTTCTTCTATAATTTCGTTTGTCAAATTTTGGGAGCCGTACTGGCGACGACGAACTCGACGTCGAACTTGGTGTGCTGTTTTTACGTATCGTTGAATTGTCATTGCAAGTTTACGTAAACGCATTGTATAAGAGTCCACCCGTGATATCCGAGCAATTCGCTACGCACGACTTGCCGAGACATAAACAGTATCGAATGTATCGCATACTCCGGAGATATATTAACACGAGCGCCCCTTTATGGCTTTGGTGATGATTTCACCGGCGTGAAAAATAAGCAATATGCTGTCAGCGTATTAATGCTCACTGCAATTGAAATATTTAATTTTCTAGATGAAGGATTTGCTGTAATGTGGATTAAGACTGATAACATTTCGTGATAATTATTGTAGTCTATAAAGAAACGTGATATATTTTCGTAAGCTAGTCCAAGGTATTCTAATTTTTCAATAGCAACACCTCAGAAAGTGAACAGCAAAGTTGCAAAGTGTATCGTAAATATACACTATAAAAATTACACCGGGATCTCCCCCCTCTTTCGTTTTTGTTACTTAAGTTCTTTCGAAAAAATTCGAAAAAAATATGATTGTTATAACTTCAAAGATGGACATAAAGTCGATATCGCCATTATTGCTTCGATATCGCAAATTGTTAACTTTTACGTTGCGTCATGATGAATATTCTCCTGTTGTCGATATTCGCAGGAAAGAATAATTTGTTTTCTTTTTTGTTTTGGCCAGTATTATATTTACATATATCATGCCTATATGAGATTGAAAAAAAACCTCGATATGCAAAAGGAGCGCATTTTAAGGATCCAATAATATCTTATCAATACTTCAACGATGTGCCACAATTTATAACGAATAAGAAAAAAAAAATATATATATATATATATAAACATATATATATATATATAATAAAAATGCCTCTGTTAATATACACTAAAGTACCGTATAGCGTATGAATGCACAGTGCATAAATTCTAAATATATTTTTATTATCGGTTTAAAAATTCATAGAAGTACCGTGATACTGTAGGTGTGTGTCAAATCAATGCAATTATCATCAAATATCGCATCGTGTGTCTCCTTTGTTATTGTCATACTACAATATCGATAATTTATTTTTTCGTTTAGAGAGACCTTTATCGGAGTTTATTATAAATTAAGAGCTGAATTTGGGAGATTTTTTTTTTATCAATGTGCAACCGGCGACTTCGACGTTGCAGATATTTTTCCTTACCTTTTCGCGTCTCTTCACGGAGATGATAATTTGTGAAAACAGATTCTGTGTATCGCGGAGAATCGTTCGAATGTTTACTTCGTTGGAGAATAATTTTCAGAAAGCTTATATGTGTGCGGCAGCATCTGTGGGCAAAAGAGAAAAAAAAAAAGGAAAACGTGCGTTCAATTTCCAGTGCCGATAGTGTTAAGGCTCGATTTCCTTATAGCTGTTTGTGTTGACGTTTGCAGAACGCCCCAACGTAAAGAGGAAGAATCGCGAACGAATGTTTCGATACGCCTTCCGCCGAAAGCTTTCCGTATAATCCCTGTGCTTTAGTGTGTCGAGCTGCGTGATACTCTCTACTGCCTCCGATCCTGCAAAGTGCCGTACCGAATGGTGATTTTGCGATCGACGCATTTTTCGTCCGTTTATCTTCTCCGTTCAATGATTTCCGCTCAGCAATCTCGATAGTAGGCGTATACACGATCGTTATTAGTATATTTACACGTAGACTATGTTTCCGCATGATGATGTATACTCCAAGTTGTACTTGAGTGAAACAATAAAGGTTGTATTGACATATACAATAGTATGCGTAACTTTAATGACGACGCGCCGCATCGGTTCGGTTCCTGCATGATCACGCACACACGCGCGTTCTCCGCGCAGGTATTGTTTACGTTTTCTCTTCTCACGAAGTCACTTCCCGTCGTCGCAACGAAATCCACACGAACTCCCGTCAGCCTGAGCACAGCTCGAACCGCGATCCGAGAACCGAGAGATTTTCGCATCTTTTTCTTTCTTTCTGTTTTTTTTTTTTCTTCAGTGGGACAAGAATAAATAATACCTCTTTTGCAGGTACCGTACGATTTGGAAAAACGACGTGGCTTAGTCGCGAAGCTTTTCGCGGGGGACTCACGGTCTAAAACAGACGGCGACGCTGCTTTCGTGGCGATACCTAAGCGTTATCGTAAGATCGAGTTGAAATATTCACGGCTCGGTTACGACGATTTCGATTTCGATCAGTACAATCGCACCAGCTTTTGCGGCCTGGAGGCCACCTTGCCCAACAGTTATTGCAATGCTATGCTGCAGGTAAGTGCAGCCGATGGGAGACCTAGCCCTAGACCTAGGTGAAGCTACACGGAAGAGAAAGATTGCTTGAATTAACGCGACATCATTGTTATGTTGCGAGTTAAACGCGTTTTGGTTGAAGGATGTCGAATTTCTGCTTCTTGAGAACCGAATTGGTTTCGTAAGAACCAGCAATTCTGTTTCCTTCAACCAAAACGCGTTCGGCTCACATTAATTCATCCGATCTTTTTCTTCGTATACTAGATTTAGCTATAAACTAGAAGAAATGAAGAAGTAAACATAAACCCAGTAAACATCGATAGACGGTAACGTTACAACAATTATAATTCCCCATTCAACAAAGTAACTGTTATATACAACGCGTGTTATATTGCACATTGTTGAGTGAGATATTATATAACATTAATGTAATGTTGCTGTTACTTGACGTTCTCTGAGAAGGCATGAAGCGAATAACAGAGAAAGAAGGAGAACCATTCTAGTAAGCAAGAAATTCAATTCATTCATTAAATCAATCTTTTAAAACATTCATTTTATATAAATTTTATAAACCTTCTGATGTAATGTTTTATAAATGTTTTCAAACTGTTACTTGATAATATAATATTCTTAAATATTAAAATCATAATGTGGAAATGTTATTTTTAACGTTTTGAATCAAATATCGTTAACAATGACGTTGTATACAACGTTAAGAATTGCATATTTGAAAACGTTACATGTTATAAAATACCATTGTAACAACGTTGTGTCAATGATTTCTTGCTTACCGGGCTCATCGTCGTTCAGACGCGAATTCGTTATGTTCGTGCTTTGCAGCTGCTATACTACTGCGAGCCTGTGCGGATAGCGTTGCTCTCGCATTCGTGCCAGCGAGAATTCTGTCTCTCCTGCGAGCTTGGCTTCCTGTTCCACATGCTGGACATCTCGCGAGGGTTGCCCTGTCAGGCCGCGAACTTCCTCAGGGCTTTCAGGACGGTGCCCGAGGCAGCGGCCTTGGGGCTCATACTGAGCGACCTGCATCCGGAAGCTAAGAGGAAGATCAGCTTGATCAGGCTTATACAAGTACGAGCGGTGAAGTAGCTCACTCACGATCGCCGATCATACCGTTCACAGTTGCGCTCACGGCTGTGCATTTTCCTCAGAGCTGGAACCGGTTCATCCTGCATCAAATACATTATGAGATCCTGGAGACTAAGAAGCGGCAGCAGGAGGAACAAGAGGCGGCGCGGCTCAAGTTGGGCTCCAAGTATCCGCCGTTTGTCTATAACGAGCAGGATTTCCCGAGCATCCTCGAGGACCTCGGTTCTCGGTACAGGAGCCACGACGAAGAGAGGAGGAGGAGACGGAAGCAAGAGGAGGATGGTAAATATATGTGGATCACATCGAAAGGTAAACACAATTCATGTGTAACCTTCGCACTGGGCACTTTTTGTGTTTATTTTTCAATTTGTATGTGATTATTTGATCTGTCCGCTCGGCGAAAGGCTGCAGCGAAATATCCGAAGAATAACAAGAGGTAAACCGAGAGAGAAACAGAGAGAGAGAGAGAGAGAGGATTGTTTTGTTATATATAAGCATATTATATACATCCTTATGAATATCGCGGAGACGTTGCGTCTTGTATTCTTAGGATATCAACTGGAGTTTTCTCAATACGCGCGAAAGCGTGTGTTGTTTATCTTCAATTTTTTTTTTTTAACATACAGTTTTGTTTGACTTTACATCGATAAGTTACGGTAACGCTTTCCGTTTATATACTCCTTACAACGCTTCAAGATATCATTGTGTATACACATCATTTTTTTTTTTAGTAAGAAGCCGCCAGTTCCTTGTATTTTTATTTTCCAAAAGTTGCATGATCTTGCTTTTATAGAGAGAATCCTGAAATTTAAAGATATGCGATTGACGATCCACGTGTTAAAAGTAACGTGCAAAAGTGCCGAGGTGTCAAGTCGGCTTAACATTTTACAGAGTGATCATTCCCAAATTGCCGACGATGATCTATCTCGTGTCGCTTTGTTTGTTACAAAGACCGACCGATGTACAGACGTTCCCTTAAAAAAAAATCAACTCTTCTCTAGACCGAGAACACCTGTTAGAAACGTTACATGCATATCTTACTCATCGAACGGTATTTTTACTCAAACTCTTAATAATGCTCGCTTCTTCTTTTATCCTTGAATGCACATTCATTGCGGGTAGATAAGAACACCAAAAAATCCGCCGAAGAGAACGAAGTACGGGACGAAGAAACAGAGATCAGTCGTCTATTTGGATCCGAACAAATGCACATACATCGCTGTCTCAAATGTGGGCAAGAAGCTACAAAACATTCCATCATGTTGCTGTCGAACTTAGTTTATCCGGAAATAGTCAATTCTTGTAAGCCACTTTCGAGAGACACGCGACCGAGGCCTCGGCCGAGGGCGAGTCCGGCGTGTGAAATGTTCGAGGAACATTTAGTTGCGAGTATCTTGACTACTGAAGACCACAGTGAACGAGAGAAACTATCCCAATAGATACGTTACGTTGCTGTTTAAGCGCACAAAATGACGGGATTCACCTTTGAGCGATGTTCAAAAGATTCCAATTCAAAGTTCGAAGTTCATCCAATGCTCACGCGTTCACACGCTCGACTCTCCTCTGCGCGGTCCTCGGTCCTTTTCTCAACGCGTCCGTCCGCAATCGCGACTGAACGTAAGATTTGCCTTTTTGTAGCTGAAGAGGTACCGTTCACGAGTGTTCTTGCCCGCAGTTTAAGACCCGAGAAAATTACACCCGCATGGTGTGACAATTGCCAGAAATTTACACCTACTCTCCAGTCTCGACAATTGACTAAACTACCTCAAATACTGGCTCTAAACTGCGGCTTAGATACTCAGCAGGTACTTACAACACAAGTCTAGACATACAATTTGTAGCTACGATACGAAATCAAAGCATGAAAGCCGCCACGCTGCGCGCCCCGGCCGTACGAGAGTCACGCGGACCAATTGTTTACAGGACAAGGCGTTCTGGCAGAATCAGATGGACATCGTGGTGCAAAAGGTGTTGGCCGGGAAGGAAATTAGTCCCTGCTCCAGCCCCGTGCCCGTCACCGCCAAGCCGTGCCGATACGGCAATAATTGCACTCGAGTCGGGTGTCGATTCAGGCACGTCGGTCGCGACTCGGGTACGCTAAGTAGGATCAACCATCCGATACAGCGGGAAGCAAAGCGGTTTGGACGCAGCCAAGTTCAGAACGCAGCCGACGGTCCAATGAAAAAACGAATTAGTCAGAAATAAGTTCACCTCGATGGACCATCGGCTTGATCTCTGAACTCAGCCGGGTCCAAACTCAGTTTTGCACCACACTATACATTGTTCAGGGTTAGAAAGTTACTTTTGAAAAGTAACTCGTTACTCAATTGAGATAAGTGCGATTGCGTTACCGTGACTGATGAAACAAAGATAACGTTCTTATCAAGTCATTATTGAGAAAAGTAATTTGCATCGGCGTTACGAGTCGCTTCACCAATCCCGACGTTGTTCGAAACGAACGTCGACTACAGCATGCTTATCAATCGTGCAGAGTCGGAGAGAGTGTTACCGTCACCTACGACTTCGTCGGCGTCGCCTCCTAGTCACTTGTATTACTCGCATTCCTGGATACCTCACAACATCGAGATCTCCCTCGACGAGAACGGAGAACTGACTGTGCGGAAACTGAACGGCTTGGCGAACGAGTCGAATAACGGCGCGTCCGCGCGAACGAACGTGGTGATGGAGAACGGCCGAGACGACAGTAAGGTACAAATAATCGCCGAAAACGTCGGGGACGATCACGACGGCGAAGAGAGCGCCGCGAACAGCAACGCTGCCGAGGCGAAAAGTACAAATCCTGATATTCCCATTAATACTCAAAAAATACAATACAGTCTCAGCGCCGTTGTCTGTTACGTCGACGACAAGACTAACGAGGAGCGGAGGAACATCGTGGCGCTTCTGCAGGTCGGGCCGAATTATCACGAGCGATTGTCGGGCAGTGCAGTGTCGCAGTGGTACATCTTCAACGATTTCTGGTGAGTATTTCGCACTTTGAAAAGATTTATTTACGGAAAAATATTAAGTATAGAGGAGAGGGTGATACTATGCCCCCCCCCCCACATTTACATTTTGTACAATAACTTTGAATAATCAATAATTTTTAATTAAAAATTTAGCGATTACATTCGTTAAAATATTGTTCAATCGATTTTAAACTCAAAGTTATGGAATATTGATTACTTAGGACATTATTTATAAAAAAAAAGTGATGACACTGCATAATGGATTGAAGAGGCACAGGAGTGGTAATGTGACCCTCCATTAAAATATATTTAGGAAATTGGTTTCGTTTTGATAAATTTGGAAATTTTTATGAATTAAAGAAAAGTGAAATTATAAGAAAAAGAACGATGCGACCGCGTGTCGAGTACCCACCATGTACGTGCGACGTTTGCATTGCAGTATATCGGCGGTGACACCGCAGGAAGCGGTGTGGTTCAATCTCGACTGGAAGATACCGTGCGTGCTTCATTATACGGCGATACCTGCGCCCGAACCGACGCCGTTTGTCAACCCGCTCACGTACGACGTGTTTGGGGAAGACAAGTGCATCGCTCGCAGCGGTGGGACCAGAGGCATCACGTTCACACCACTTTCGTCGGACGAGATGCCTCAGAAAGGTACATCCGCCACCTTCCGGACGCATCGTCCGTGCTGTTGCCCAAATAGAATCGCGGAAGTTGCTCTTTAAACGTGACTATTGTTACTGGTTACCAGTAGGTCCGTTCTGTAACTTTAACTTTTTGTAACTAATGACAGTGCCGTTAAAAGTTACAGGACTGCATTCCAGAACTCTATTGAGTGGCAGAGTAGCATTTAATTGACCAATCTGGATAGAAGAACAGAGATTTTTTTATTATTGTTGGTTAATTAAATGCTACTCTACCACTCGAGTAGAGTTTTAAAATGCAATTCAAAGTAGGTCTACAGGATTGAAAAGCAAACCTTGGGTAATGAGTAACGGATGACTGGTTACTTTTAAAAAGCAACTTTTTTGACACTGTTCGTTATGCATTAAACAAAATACCGTTATTGTTACTCAAGTAATGTCCGAGTACTACTCGTATATCCGAATCGTTGTAGGAGAGTTGGTAGGAATCGACGCGGAGTTCGTTACTTTGAATCAAGAAGAATCCGAGCTGCGGAGCGACGGCAAGATGTCGACCATCAAACCGAGTCACATGTCGGTCGCGCGAATTACCTGTATACGCGGGTATGATATCTGAATTGTCATAAATTCTCCTCTAATGTCTCATAAGCGAAAAATCTCCCTCTGGTCTTGTTGGCCGACGAGAAACGATCGGACTTTAGCTGGGAGATACGTTTCATCACGAAAATGTGGTGTATACTCGCTCGATATAACGTAAGTCGCAATTACATGGAAACCTTTTGGCAAGCAGGCAAGGCCCACTGGAAGGTACACCATTCATAGACGATTACATAAGCACGCAGGAACAGGTGGTCGACTACCTTACCAAATTCAGCGGGATTCAGCCGGGCGACTTAGATGCGAACTTCAGCAGCAAGCATCTCACTACTTTGAAGTCAACGTATCAGAAGTTGAGGTTTCTAGTAGACAACGGCATCATCTTCGTCGGCCACGGCCTGAAGAATGATTTCAGGTAAATTCGGGCTTGGTCTCTCGATGGTCTCTCAGCGCTAACGAGTACATTGGCTTTCGAAACGGTTTAAACACCTTCTTTTCGAGTAATTTCCAGAAGTCAACTTCTCTCACTGGACCGTCAGCCGTGTTGTAAATAACGTCGATAAAAGAGTTCAGACAGGGTTACAAAGGGGAGTTTCAAACCGTTTTGGGACTCAGGGTACGCACACAGTCGGCAGTTTAAAGGTTGCGACATTTTTTTCGGCGAGTTTCGCAACGCATTCTGCGTCCAATAAGATAATTTATTTTTTAGTAATTCTAAATAGATACATTATCGTCATTCGAATATTTGTGAAACTGCAGATAATGTGTATATGTGTGTATACCTTTCTCTTTTTTCATTCACTTTTTCTCTTTCTTAACGATCATTCTTTATAGGGTGATAAATCTGGTGGTGCCACCGGAGCAAATAGTGGACACAGTTTTGCTGTTTCACTTACCTCGTCATCGCATGGTGTCGTTACGTTTCTTGACCTGGCACTTCCTAGGCAAGAAGATTCAATCCGAGACTCACGATTCAGCGGAGGACGCACGAGCGGCTCTGGAATTGTATCGCAAATACAAGGAACTGGAGGACTCGGGGCAATTGGCAGAAACGCTCAAGGAGCTCTACGAAGTGGGCACGCAACTGCAGTGGAAAGTAAAGAAACGGGACGACTCCCCGCGTCGTACTTAGTCTATTCTTTCTCATCACGAATCCGTAAGTTCGTTCATTAATGTTGCTCGTGCTTTCAGGTTCCTGATAGCTGATACGAGGGTGATGTGTGTAACGATGTAGACGATAAGATAAATTTCAATAGTGATCACGACGAGTAGGTGACACGGACATTTTTTTTAATGTGTCCATTTGTTCAACATCACACGGAGAAAGGAGAAACGAGGATTTACGGAAAAAAAAATGGTTTAGGTTAAGGCCAAGGCTGATGGTTAATGTTAAGGTTAAGGCTCCAATATCTTCAGTCGAAAAGGGAAGAAAGAATATGACAAATATGCGAGCCGGTCCGCTGAAGTAAATGTGCAAACTATGAAAAGTATATATATTTTTTTTTAATATGATATTACCGTCAATACAGAATATCTTTTATCGGGCTTTTCTCAAAAAAGATCAAGAGAATAATTAGAGAATAATTAGAGAGTCAAAAATTTCGAGATAGAGATTAAAAAGAAAATTAAGGGAACCGAATTGTACTTATGGACATTCTATATTAATCCTTAATTGAAAGAGGCCAATGAGAGCCGGAGTTGGTAAGTAGTTACGAGATTAAAAATTATTAGATTTAAAAAGTCGATGAATCCGAAAACGTTTCGGTCATAGATTCCGAGCCTTTTCAATCACAAAGATTGACTGCGTAGTACTGGTCGTAACCAGTAAATTCTTTCTGAGAGTCTGATTCATATATTCTTTATTATATTTCTTGTATGAAGAAAAAATTTGGTGACGTTTTGCGCATTTACTTCATATTTTTTCTTCCTTTCCTGATTGATAATGAAAAAGACTCGGAGGTAAGCTCGTCACGCGCTACGTTTGCGATTGATGAAAAATTTCGATGTTCATAGTCCAATTGGAGAATGGGGAATGCGGGGGAAAGGTTTATTTTACGCACGCACACGCACGCGCGCGCGCCCACACACACACACACACACACACACACACACACACACACACACACACAACATGTATTAATTATTAGATAGATCTTAAGAATTGCGTGATCGCGATACACGTGAAATTAATAATTCGCTGTGAACCGGCAAGGACCCCCGGTGTGTACTCGTTTAGTGTCGTTCTCATCGGTTGTGTTAACATCAATCATTGTTGCATCCGTTCATTAGACGTGTGATGTATAAACTTTACAAGAACAAGAGATAACGCGGCAGTTCGCGAGTATTTCGTCAGTATCCGTCTGATCTCGATCATGCGTAGTCGGTTAGAAGGCGAGATCGAACGAGAACAACTCTTGTTGATCGTGATTTTAAACGCGGCCGTCCGGTTTGGCGGCTGAACCTGTACATATTGTCCGGTCGACGTCATCGGCGTTTTTAGGGAGCAGCAGCAACGATTGCCGCCACTGCCCGACAGAATATCAATGTATCGTTGTAATTTCTTAATCGCTCATATTGTGTCCCGTGTGAAAGCCAACGTATTCCATCCCCAATCCATCAGACGAGACAGCCGGGCGTAGACGTAATAAATAGTTGTTAATGCAGTAGCAATAATAATCGGATCGCGTTCATCCGGTAAGTACGTTGTACTTATATAAGTACACCGAGTAAGCGACAGTAAAACACACACATCATACACACACACGCACACACCCACCGTTTCCTTTTATACGTACCTCCTCGAGCGCGTTTAACTTTTGTACGACTTTACATCTCTCATATGCAGGATTTTTTATAAAAATTTTCATCCCAATGGACCTCGGTTCCTTCGGCAACCCCGATCATGTACATGAGTATATTTACACACATGTACCGAAACAGTCACAGCATTTTCATTCGTCGCCGTGAGCGATCGTCACATCTCGAAACTGACTCCATTTGTACGAGGCTTTCGAAACGCGAAAGAAGAAGAGGAAAAAAAAACAAAGAAAACCTATTAACGAGAATATGGTAGTATATTTTACAAACTGACAATTGTACTCATTATAGATTATTTTTATATGCATTTTACTAATGAGAAGAAAAAAAAAGATATGAAGGATACTGTCCAGATCTATCGAGAAAAAAAGTCGAGATTAAGGCTCCTATTTCTTCGCCGTGACCACCTTGATTAATGACATTAAAAGCGAGAAAACGTGTAAAGTTTTTGCGGAATACGTCGAAATAAAAATATTGCAATCGATCGAGTAATTTCTGAAAAATAGGGAACTTTCGTTTTATTCTAACAGACAATAAACAGCCATAAGATTAATGTAGCAAAATGATAAGAAAGGATCATTTTACAGTTATTCATTGATTGTTAGAGCAAAAGTAAAGTTTTCGAACTATTTCACAGAGCTGCTCGATCGACTGCAACTGTATCACTTTATGGATATATCTTTTTATTTCAATGTATTTCGCAAGATTTTTCTTGAGCAGGTGTCTTCTCGTTTCTGAAGTCATCAAAACAAGATGGCCGCGGCGAGGAAACGGGAGCCTTAATGAAGCATATATTTTTTTATATCCGGAGAAATTTTCTTATAATTTGTGCACGATGTAACTTATACACCGATTTCAGCGGAAACGGTCAATACAATGCAGGCAGTACACACGATGTTGATATAGTAAGCATTTGTTTTACGTCAACCGCTGTTACGTCATTGTAATTTTTCAATAAATGGTTGTACAAATCATCTGTTTAACGTGCAATCTTTTGTCCTTTAGCTTACGAAGTGTCGCACGAAACGATCTTGGACAGTTTTATCGAGAAAACAGAATGAGCAATGTACGCAAAATGGTATTAATTTTATTATGTATATGTATATTCCTTTTTTTTTAATATTAGATCTTAGCGCTGTATGTACAAGTCCATTCTACTTTCCTATTTATACCGAGGATTTTTCTCCTCGGCAAGATAGCGTTTGTCTACTTGTCGTAGTAGGTAGTTTTTTTTTAGTAATTAACATAATTAATATAATTAATTAATTAATAATTTACAATAGGGATGGGCGATATTGAAAAGAGACAGTCGACATTCGAAAAAGTAACAGATTATAAAAATTACCGATTTCTAATTCGTTAGAATCGTAAAATGCATCTGGCGTCATCGAGTGTTGCCGTGGAAAGTAAACGAGGAGTAAAAGTTTTCCTCACTTGACAAGATGAAAAATCAGAATGTCGTTCAGAACAAACTCAAGGCAATTCAAATTGAGTATTACACACGCACATACATACATATAGGAGCCCAGTAAAGAGTACAGTCAGTCAAGTTTAGTATTGCAATTTAATAACGTGGTTATTATTATATACATTTATATTTAATTATTAAGAAGCTATATATATATATTATTAGAAGAATATATATATTATTAGAAGAGGTATTAAGAAGCTATCGACATACAGATCAGTCGAAGTTAACAAATCAATTGTCTGCTCAACAATTGATTTAGTTAAAAATAAAAAAAAGAATCGAACATCGATTCATCAGTCGTACATCGCCCATCTCTAATTTACAGATTGTACACACATTCACCTTACACGCGTGGTTGCCATCCACGCTGTTGTTATGGCGTTCAAGCATACGTTATGTATTATGTATAAGATATATATACGTAAAAATATATATATAAGGCATATCTTTTATATATATATATATATATATCTTATTTTATATCGACATATATATGTAAGATATACATATATAATATATAAGATATATATTATATACAGATATATATATATATATATATATCATAGAAATTTAATAAATAATCAAGAAATCCCGTGCTTTCGAGGCTGCTTCCGAGAGAGATTCAGTCCCCTTTCAAACGGAACAATTAGCAGGATGAACGTTTGATATGCCGCTAACAAGACGTTGTGCCAATAATGTCCGAATAATATGTGAAGATGCAAAAGACATCTGAAAATCGCTTGCAGGCTCAGCACATTCTTACATTTTTATTTGGACATTGTGTATCACCTTAATTCAGATTACACAACGTCCGACCGTAGAGTGTCTCGTGTGAAAGGGGGGTCGCAACAGAAGACTCACCGATTGACGTTTCTGACATTCCGAAGCGAGTTCCGCTGGTGTCATCGGCGAGATACGAGATCCTTTTCGAGATCGTGCCGATCGTGCGCGGACAGAAGAATAACGCTAATTTACCGTAAAAAGGCAGCGGACGCCAGCGGAAGCGACGAGAGACGCGCGCGCGCACCAAGGCGCTCCAGCCGCGGATAACGGTACAAAAAAATAACGTGTACGTTATACACTTATGTACTTATATACAACGAAGATACGATTTATCAGAATGCCGAGATATTCGTTCGTATCTGCCAACTATACGCGTGGCTTAAGTAAATTACACAACGGTAAGAAACAAACGAAAAAAAAAAAAAATAGAAGAAGAAGAAGAAGAAGAACGTCTCCTGACTAGAAACTTGCGTGGTCGAGCTGCAGGAGCTGGAAGGAGTATTCAGTGGCAGTATACGAGTGACGAGTAGCGACCGTCGCTCAGAACCGTTTCAATGCAGCACCTTAGCGAAGCACTCGGTTGCCGTTCGGATTTAAGGCACCGTGAACGCTAAGTGTGCTCGCGAGGGAACGTCGCGACCGCATCCGCGAATTGCATTCACGCAACGTGCTCGTCCCCTCGATTGTCCGAAGACCAAGGCACTTGTGCTCGCGTAGCCGAGGTTTTCAATTCGTCTACAATTCGACCGGGTGTGGCCGAAGTGTCGAAAGCTTCGACCGAACAGAAAACGGAGCTCTCTCTCTCTCTCTCTCTCTCTCTCTCGCTGTCTCTCTTTCCTCCTGTCTTCACTTCTATCTTAATGCTCCTCGCCTTGCTGGAAATGGCCGTTTCTGTTCAGCGGTTGCCTCTCTGGAGCGTCGGAGGGTCTGTTCCTCTTGAAGAAGCCGCACTGCAAGCAACGCGAGACACAGTCAAACATTCGGTATTTGGTGAGCCTTAATTCTATCTTATATCCAGGGTCGGGGAGTTATTATTTTGGAAAAGTAACTCGTTACCGTTGCTCGTTATCGAAAGATTGTCTCATTAGCGTAGAAATATTTGTCACCAAACAGAACAGCTTTTTAGTCTAAGACTCAAGATACGAGACAGTTATTGTGGGTTACTTAAGAACGAAGACTTAAGGTGTAAAACATTGTCTTAATCCGGTAAGTCGGCCATTTTGTCAAAGGCCTTACTGTATTACCGTTATTAACGAGAGAAGAGAAATAACGTTGTTACCGAGTCGTTACCAAAACAAAGTAACTCGTAATGGTTGCCAACAGTAACACGTTACTTCTCAAGTTGATATTCGAGTCTGCACCAACCTTGTAGAGTAAGAATATCAGCAGCAAGAGGATTATCGCTCCGGCGCAGGCCGACAGGACCACAACCCACAGCGGGACGACCTCTGGAACGGAAGGTGGCGCGCTGGGTTCAACGTTCGTAACAACCTCGTCGCTCCGGATCACCTTCACGGCGGGTGTACCGATGAACGGTTGCTTCGTGACGTGCGCCACCAGCTTCGTCGACACTCTCACTTTCTCCCGGAAGGCTATCTCTTTCAGGGTCCGGGCGTCCACACGGAACCTCGCGCTGATTGAGACCTGTTGGTCCTTCTTCAAGGGGCCCAGCACGCATCGTAGCTTCACACAGTTCGCCATGCCGCAGAGCGACTCCGGCTCCTGCGGCTTCCGCTCGTCCTGGTAGTAGTCGTTCTCGATCTCTCTGTTGTTCATGTAGTCGTTCTCGAAGGCTTCATCGTCCAGGTAATCGTCGACCTCCCGTCGGTGTCTGCGGAGCCGTTCGAATTCCTTGAACTCTCGCACGTCGACCATGTCGCTCTCGCGCCTGTACCTCGAGCTCGGACGGCCGGGTTCCGGTCTGTCCGTCAGGAATTCGTCGTTGAACCGCTCGTTGTTCCTCCCGTAGACTTTGGTCTGGCTGGTCCTCTCCTCCGTTCGCTTCTCTTCGTGTGTGCGCGTGTTGTAGCTGCTCTCGTAGCCGCCGTCTGACGTTAAACCGCGACTGGACGACTCCTCACCCCAAGATTGCTCATAACTCCTTTGACCTTGATTGTCCGTGTTGTCACCACTGTGATAACCACCCCCGTGCGGACCGTGCAAAGTGTACGTCCTCTCCTCCGTGTACGTGTAAGAGCCCTGAAGGGGGAATCTCCGGCCGTCCTTCAGCACGATGTAACCTTTGTCACCCGACTCGATGAGCAACCGACCTTCTATCCTGAGGAATCGACTGTCGCGTGGTTCTACGGATTCCGAGACGTAGCTCTGCGCCCCGTAACGGTCTTGCAGCGGGAACATGGAGCCGTCTTGGAATTCTATGTATTCCTTCCTGTCGGCGGACGTGCGGAACCTCGCCTTGAACTGCACGTACTGTTGGCCCTGCCTGTTGTACACCTGGTAGCTGGACGAGTCCGCCTTCGACAACGTGCCGAACAGCCGTTCCAGCTCCTGAGTGGAGCTGACATTCTGCAAATGGGAACCGAAATCTCGCCCTCCGGCGACCGTTTCCTCGCGGTCGCCGCTGATGAAGTCACCCTCTGTGGTGCGGTGAAAACCACCGGAGGACGCGCCGTAGCGCCTCTCCTCGTCGTATCTATGTTCCCTCTCACCCTGCAGACGTCGCTCCTCCTCATCCTCCTCCTGCCGTCGTCGTTGCTCCTCTTCTTTTTGCCGCCGTTGTTGCTCTTGCTTCCGATAGCGCTCCTCCTCTTGTCGCTGCCGCTCCACCTCCGACTGGCGCCGCTCTTCCTCTTGCCGACGTCGATCCTCCTCCTGCTGCTGACGCCGCTCCGCCTCCTCTCGTTGACGTTGCATAAGCAGAGCACGTTCTTTCTCTTCCTGCAGCTTCCTCTGGCGCGCTTCTTCCTCCACGCGAGCCTTCTCCTGCTGCCGCAGCAGTTCCTGGTACCGCCTCTCGCTCTCGGTCATGATGGAAAAGGAACTCCCCGAGGACGAGATCGCATGTTCGTCTTCCACTCGGCTGCCTTCGTCCCAGCGACCCGCCACCCCGGCCGTGTGGTTCACGCGAGTCTCATAGGTTGCCTCGTGGCCGATGCTGCCTCGTAATCTCGAGTCGAAGGGCGCTTCGGTCGCGCGGAAGCCTCCGTGCGAAGTTGTGGATAAGCCACCGGTGATGCCGATCGCTGGGCTGGCCTCGGAAGAGGTGCCCAGGTACGTCGTGGTGAGCACTTCCGGCCTCTGTCCCTGTGAATTCAGTTGAATTCTCCTGGTCTCCGTGGCCGTGCTCGAGGAGGACGACGACGAGGAGGACGATGAGGACGAGTGCCGCGACTTTTGGATATTCGAGCTGTCGCCGCTGTTGATCTCGGCCTCTTCCTTCTGGCTCACTTTGCTGCGGTCCACCGCAAAACCTCTCTGCACGTTGATCGTCTTACCTGATCGCGACTCGTCCAGTATCACACCGGAATAGTCGAGGTAGTTCAAGTGAGCCCTTCTACGCTGGTCCAACTGTAAGACATTTTTCAGGCGATTTACATGACTCCTTCAGCAAGAGAAAAACCGGTTGAAACCGTAAAATGTAAAATAATAAAAATTGGAATAGAATGGGTATAATAATAGATTGGGACGAAAATGTGTAATAATATATTGGAGTTCTACAAAATACGAAATAACGATTGAATCAACAAATTTTACTGAATTATTAAAATAAATCATTCAAAGACTTAAATTAAATGATAAGAATGGAAATAAGTTAAAATAAAATAATATTGAAATAAAAACTGCAGTCTTTATATATTTCTCTACAAATCGCAAAACTACCAAAGATGTTCTACAAGTGGAACGCGCATCGGCCGTACCTTCAAGCTGAGATAATTCGCGTTGGCGGACTCGCAGGCGATCGGTCCCGTAGTCTCCGGCTGTTCCAACAAGTACAGCAGCTCCTTGTTAGACAGAGTCTGCGCGGGCCACACGAGGAATGCCTCGGCCTCAATGATGTCCGACGGGCCTTGGTTGAGTATCGTGTAATTATACGTGACCGCCGGCCCGAATTCGAGTTCCGTCGTGATATTCGCGGCGGTGTAATTGTCAGGGTTGTAGTAAAGGTCCTTGGGCTTGCTCTCGCCTTCCACACGCAAATCAGTCTCTATCCAGATCGGCATTGACAAAATGTGTTTGTTGTCCGCGAGGGTGTGCGAGTTTTCAGGGTTCGTGCTGTTGACGTGCATGTGGAATTCGTAGACGGGCTTCATCCCGTGGGACGTGACAGGCTGGAGCAGCACCTTGAACTTCACCAGCTTGTTTTGCGGCAGCGGGTTGCCGATGTCGCAACGCAGGGTATTGTTGTTCGATTGTTTCGGCGCGGAACAGTGAACGGGTATCTCCAGGGTCTCGATACGCTCGATCTTGATGTAATCGATACCGGTCGGCAGCTGCAAGTTGTACGTCGACTCGAACGCGTCCTCGCCCATGTTCTGAACCAAGACTTCGAGTTCCAGCCGTTTACCGGATCCTAGTAAGTATTTGCCGACGTTCGGCTTCACGCTCAGCCTCAGGTCGGGTATGCAGATGTTGTCGGGGCCGCAGTTCTTCCTGATGGAGAGCGTGTCCTTTCTGGAGGTCGTCGCACCGAGGACCGGTCTCAGCGGCAATCTGGGATCGCGACGGCGGCTGTCCGGGATCCGTTCTTCCTCCAGACTCATGCGCATCTCGGCGTCCAACGACGTCAGCTTGTCGCGGATATTAGGAGTCACGTAGACCTTCGAGAATGATGTAGAGAATGGTAAATTTCGTTCCGGTAAGAAATAGCAATGCACAGAGTGTTATTCAAGTGATTGCTCGAAACTTCGCAGGCCAAAGGATGTTTGAAATCAACATTAAGAGTCCTTCAAGTAAGAGCCGGGATATCTCTGACTCTTTGATAAAAATGGCATCTGATTTGCCACTAGAATGTCTCTTTTTATGAAGGGTTTCTACAATATACCGAGTTTAGACACATTTTTCTAAGGATATACATGTGATATTCACCTTAATATATAGAAAATTATTTATAAAAATAAACGTTTTAATCGGTTAAATATTAAAGTTTTCCACTATTTTATTATTCATCTCTCATTTTAGAATAACATTTATACAACAAATGGAATTTTTTATTTAACAACCCTCAATTCCACCACTTTTATCAAATAAGAAACTAAATCCGATTATAATAAAAATTTGAAGAAGATTCGACTCTTATTCTGAAGGAATCTAAACATAAGTCCTTAGATCTTTTAAGAATAAACAACGAGAATGAAGATCGATCTTTCCGAAATAAACAGCGACTTTCCATCAAACTTACCATGATGAAATAGTTTAGTATAATCTATGATATTCTTCCGTTTTCACGTCGCCATTTACTCTAGAAGGATTGACCCGTGAACTTATGTTAACAGAACGTTTATTCTTCAATTTAGTAAATATCACAAACCCGCAAAGTTTTGAGCCACGTTTCGGTAGCATCCCGCATAATACCAAGGTCGACTCACTTGAACTGTGCGACAAAACTGCCGATCACGATCCACCGAGATCGTATGGTTCATGCTGTTCTTGCCCTCCAACTCCAGGAAAAACATCCTCGGATTCTTCGTTTTCTTCACGTCCAGCACGTATTGCACGTTGAAATTGTGCCTCGAGAGGACCCCCTCTCCCGTGTACCTGAAGCAAGCCCTGAGCGGAAGACACGTGACTCTGGTGTCGTCCGAAAGCGTGCAGTTCTTGATGTCCAAGGAGATCAGCTTGGACTCCGAGCTGAAGGTCACGTACGAGTCCATCTTGATGACCGGTCGTGCCCTAAATAGACGCAAAAAGTTCATTGAAAATCCCAAACGCCACCGATGGGAGCGATCTCGTTTGCCGAATCCGAGAGAACGTTCGTTCAGACGGCTACCTGAAGAACATCGCCGACGCTGACTCGTACGCGCCGACCACCAGGTCCGGGTAGACATTGCCGTCTAGATCGAGGCCGCCGGCCACCGAAAATCCGAAGGTCTGCACCGGGTTGTCCAGGTCCTCCGCGTGGATCACCTGGGTATGCTCCAACACGCCGGCCCGCGAGCCGTAGAAAATCCAGACGGTGCCACGACCATTCGGGCCACCGTAGGGCGCGCCGACGACGAAGTCACCGTAACCGTCACGGTCGATATCCCCGAGAGAGGCCAACGACAAGCCGAAACGTCCGCGGTTGCTTTTGCCGTCTCTGGATAACGATAAGCCATTATCGCCGCGGCGGTTCAACGAACCCGTTCAGCGCGATCCGTCCAGGGCCCGTTTAACCCTTCAGGTCAGCGCCGTTCATGAACTTAGAGTAGAGGGAAATATTCGAGCGTCACGTGGGAGCTCCATTTTCGGTACTTCGCGAAGTACAATGCGCGATTACGTGACGGACTTCCCCGATTGTCTGCGAAGTCTCCCATGGATGCGACGGATATGCGTTGTCTTGAGAAAAAATCGTGCTCATACTTTGCAATGTGGGACAACTTTCCGGAAGGTCGTAATACTGAAATTCTAATTTCCGAGATAATGCTTGCGCTCAGCATAAAAAGCAGCTTAATAAGCGCTTTATGGTCATTGTCTATGATTGTAGTATTCATTCAAACCTTTCATAGATCCAGGAGAATGTGCAGCAATCAGAAGCAATAATCACAAAGCGCTTACTTTTCCTGCTGAACGCAAGCAATCTCGCGAATTGCAATTTTTTCGAAATATCAGAAATACGAGGTCGTCCCCTCCGAAAAGTTTCACAATACCGAGATCAATGCAACGAGGCAAAAATATCACTGTTATCATTGTTAGCATTATCAATAATACTGAAAAATGTGATTATTACTATTGTTATTCATTTTTCTTTACCTCGGAAAAATTGCATCTTAAGAGAGTGTCTCGACATCCGAATTTCGGAATTACGACAATACTTGTCGACAAATTGTCTCATTTTTCGAACTGTATAACTCGAAATCACAGTTTGCAATTCTACCGGTTAGTCGTCGGCTAGCTTAAGGAATTTGGCAAAGATCAGGGTGATAGTCAAAGTGTCGTTACCTCGTGTCGAATTTACGGAACTTCCTCGCGTCACTGCCCTGATACATCACGTAAACCCTTCCGGTCTCGATGGTCATTTCCGGGTTGTCCGGGACCGTATACATGGGCGCACCGACTATCAGGTCGTCCAACCCGTCTCCGTCTATGTCGCCGGAAGCCAAGGCATAGCCGAAGTATGCGCCCATTTGTTCGCCGCTGATGTTTTGCGGATTCGTCATGTTCGACGTGAGAAGTATGACCTACGATCACATTTCCGAGTTAGCGTCGGTGCGAGTTAGCATCTGCGATGACGCGCAGCTCGGCCTCCGTTTCTCGCCGCATGATTGCACCGAGAGAAAAGGAACGGTTAATAATCTCTCTCATTCGAGAGAATATGAAACAAAAAGTTACAATCGATGGCAGATAAGAATGAAGATAATCGTTAAAACAGTGTTTAAGGAGATTATAATTCTTTCACTGGATTCTTTCACATACACTGAGAGAGAAATATCTAAAAAATAAAAAATATATATATTTATTTTGGTGAGTACTAATAACACACTTAAATTCTTAATTCTCTTATTTAAAGGCAGAATAAACAATTGCTTTCGTAAAAAATTATAGATTCAAAGAAATGCATATTTTCTCATTTGAAAAGCGTTTTCTCTCATTGAAAAAACATGTATATTAGTAGAAACATGTGTTATTAGTATCTATCGAAAAAAATATTTGTTTCTTTCTCAGGCACTTTTCTCAGGAATTTGTTCTCCCAGAGAGTGTCGATTATAATTCTTTCACCGTGAGATTGTGGTCTCAAATACCAAACACTTTTTCCACAGTCCTAGATTTTTATCAGCTCAAGCCTCATTTCAACGTTTGATACACCGCTTCCTGCGGTACGCACCTTGCCGAGGAGATGGGAGCCGCGCGGGACCCCGACCGCCATGCTGCTGTCGCCGTTCCCGACGAAATCTCCCGACGCGACGGAGTAACCCAAGTAGCTGTCGTCCTCCTCCGCGGGGCCCTCTTTGGTGGACATGATCTTCGAGTCATTGGTCAGGGGCTGCGAAACCGCTTGTCCTACGAAACAAATCCAAGCTGTTAACGAGAGAAAGATCCTCGAAACGTGTGACGATGGGAATGCAGGTGTTTTCGTGACCGCGACCGCAGTCGAGAATTGTTTAAAGATTGGCGGTCTTCGCTGCGGTCGAGAACTCACACAAGTCACTCCACAAAGTCCCGAATGCGCATTTAACGAATCAGAACCGTGTGAGGCACTTGGAACCAATTATTTTTCGTGTCAACTTAAAAAAAGAATACGTACAGGTGCATGTATATTTTTAGACATGATTAAAAAAAGGATACGTACAGGTGTACGTGCATACAGAAAAAAGCGCTGGATTCGAGTAAACAATTACTGTAACAGTCCTCAGCAAACCTTTACTTGGATCAAGTTGTGTTTACTTGATTCAAGTGAAATATTTCCCAAGTAAAATATTTTCCACATATTAGCCAAATGTGTAAAATATCGGTCTAAGCGAAACTCATTTAGTCCATGTAAAAGTGTGATGCTAAGGAGGATTGAAATAATTATTTACTTTAATTTAACAATTTCTTTTTTGTAATTTTATGCGCGAGACTTTGTGGGAACGACAGAAATAAACATGGAAATGATAAGCTGCTGTTCTATCATTAATATTAATATTATTATTATTATTAATCTAGCATCTAAGCGTACGATATCGTCGACGATGACACTGACTGTCATTACATATCGCTATTAATGTCAAGCGATCATCACTATGTAGCATTGTTGGCGCGCAAACTCTCCAGCCGAGATTAAGGGATATTATAGCTTTCTAGTCGGATCCGTATTACACCGCGACTCTCTCGCTGCAACTGTGTCGAAGCTGTAAAAGCGGGCCTGCACCTGTTAGAAATAGTCTCACCCACCACTTATCTGGCAGTAATTGAAAGGAGAAGGGCGCGCCCGGCGCTAATTGCCGCGACAGCGGCTGAGCGATCTTCGCACGTCGGAGGTGCGAGAGCGCGAAAACGGATTTCAATTGGACTCACGTGAATGCGGGCTCGTCGCTCGTGATCGACGATCGGAAGGCGAACGAGGTCGCTCTCCGATGAGTTTCCCCGTTTTCACGGCTTTTCATGGTTAATCGATCGATCGTCAAGCGATCAATAAATAAACAAAGCATCGTGTTAAGCATGACGACAAATTAGAGAGAGAGAGAGAGAGGGAGAGAGAGAGTTACTGCCAAGCAAGTATGAAGAGGGTGCGAAGAGAGAATACTTTTTCGTGTTACTCTGATAAACCTGGCGCTCCGAAGACGCTTCCTCCTGTGCGATTAACGCACATCATTCTTATCGCTCTCGGTTGTCACGTCAGTTTTCGCACTCTCGGAACAAAAAGCCGTCTCTTATGAACACAAGCAACACGTGTTGTTAATTGTTGGCGCGTGAGAGAAGTCGTCAATACGAAGAGAGAATGGTAGCTTATTAGAGACAGGGGGTTCGGTTGGGGGGGGNGGCGGTGTATTTTAATAAATACGGGGGGCGCCTGCGTGTGTTTGTACGCGATACCTGATACTTCGGCCTCGGAGATGAACAACATCGACGCCACGAACTTCAACCTCATGTCGGTGGCGATCGAGTATATCTGACCTGCAATTTGTTAAGGAAATTCCCCACTAAATTACTCCGTAAGACCCAGCGGAATCGCACACTCTCTAATCGCTAATCAACGTCCGTCCTCGTTCCGCTCCCGTTCGGTCGCGCCACGCCGTGGATTACGTGATTTTAACCGTGAGAAAAAGAGAAACAGAGATTGAGAGAGAGAGAGAGAGAAAGAGAGAGAAAGAGAGAAATAATGTGCACATCAGCGTGATGGCTTGAACGAAAGATTTTCCGGCTCGCATTCGTCCTACAGGTATGCAACTCGCAAACGATGATTTTGAGAGTGGAGAGTCTTACCTTGCCAGTACCAGCTCCCCGGTGCGCCTATGAAGACTCTTTCGTCATTCTGAAATAAATAGAAAAATAATCGTCCGTGAGTCTCTACTCCTGTCACAACGTGGATAGTGAGAAAGCATTGCTAACACACTTGAGATGTTTTTGGTTGGTCCCGATGTTTCTTCGACATGTTGGGGACTTTTCGTAAGCAAAATTGAATACGGTGGGTAAAAATATGATTTTTCACGTGCCGCTCGTGGGACAAGAATTATAATTTTTCGACATCCCACGTCTCTCGAATCCAAAACATTCCGGTTTTGTGATCGCCATTTTATCGTTTTGCGATCGTTCCGGTCTCATGCTTAATTTATCCCATGCAATATCGTTGCTCGCCTTCATCGATTGCTCTCATATATTATTTTTTCTCCTTCTTTTTTTTTTCTTTGAAGGATAAAATAACTCGTACAGAACGAAAGAAACGACGAGTGTTCGCATGCGATTTCCAACGCCTCGGGCAACTTGCAACCAGGAAACGGACGCACCCACGAAAGTCTAATTCTTTTCTCTTTTTAATTTATAAGATAATACCGCCCGATAGGGGAGGGCTCGTGCCCGAGTCCGGGATGCGATAAATCAAGCGTTCGCTACACATACATGTGCAAGCCGCACGTTCGCCGCACGCGTTTGCACACAGCTGCGTCACGCATGCTAAACGCACGACACACCACGGTGGTCTTCGTGAGACAGACTTTCTTCTTCATAATCCGTTCATTACAGTTTTTCATCGGGGTTAAACATTCCGATAAAATTTGAAGATTAAGAAGGAATGAGAAAACAGGAGTTGCAGGAGTAAAAGTGAGTGAGTGATCACAGTTTAATCTACGACCGGTGTTCTTTTTCGAGTTTCGAACACTTGGAAGATTTGAAGCCTCGGTGCTCAGTATTCGAATTTTGAAAGTATCGAAGCTCCAAAACTTCGAAGCGCGAAGATTGCGATCTTTGAAAAACATATTTTCGAGACGTCGACTTAAACTTCGGCCAAAACTCAAAAATTCGAAGTTTCCTTCGAAGCTTCGAGGCTTGTAAGGTTAATAGCCTTAGTTCAATCGCGGTCTCCGGATGTACAAAGTGAGAAGATCGCCTCTGCGCGGATGGTACCCAGGCGGAAGAAATTTCTAAAAAATAGTTTTAAAGACGTCCTGTTTTTCCGATGTTTTTCACGCATGTTTAAGAGGTCTTTTAGAAATTCGTTCTACCTGAGTAAATCGACGATTGCCGTCGCTGATGAAAGCCTCGCGAACTGCGTAGAATGGAGCCTCGATTTCGCGAAGGCGCTGAACGCGATTGCACAAGCGCTCGTAATTAAAAAGTGCATCGAGTTATGAAAATAAGCTAACGCAGCGAATGTTAAATGCATCACCCGCACATATCACGTATGCGCAGCAACAGCAGCGTGTATTATTTATGGCCGCGATACGTAAATAGAAGTAACCGTGTTTTTGTCGTGCGACATTTGTCTCGCGTATTAAACGCACGCACAGCGCGGTACTACTACGCCGACCGGCCGGCGGATTTCTTTGTGGCCGCGCAAAAATTATTAATCGTCACAAGCGGCGTGTAACTGATGCGCGACAGCACCGACAATACGAGATACGCGCGTCGTAACTCGCAGCCACTTGGTACGCGCTCTCCAAAAAGGTATAGCCGGTACACACAGACACACACACACACGCAGAAAGAGCGCGGTTCCCTCGGAGCGGAGGCGTGGAAAAATCGATGTACTGTTTCAGCGTGCCCGTGAAAGGCCAGACATAACGAATGAGCTACTTTGTGAAACGGAAATGCGACACAGCGTATGAGGCAAGAATCCCACTTACGTTGCCACTGAATAAATGCCGTATTTATTTTCGTTTGTTTTCTGGTACGAGATAGAGCTTTCTCTCTCTCTCTCTCTCTCTCTCTCTCTCTTCCCCAGTGGAGAATTATTAAACGCTCTCTACGCGATAGAGAAACCATCTCGAGAGGTTCACACATGCGTGTGCACACGTACACGCGTACGGGTACACCGCCCGCGATGTAAGACCTCGTTGAATCGGTACGTGAGAACTCGAGTGGCTCTCGAAATTGTCGACATACTCAGCACTGTTGACCCTTTGCGCCTGTCATTCCCATGCTGCGTATCGAAAGTTGCCGTACAGTTGGCGGGTACATGAGAAGCACTCGTATCCGACTCTCCATCGAAGCCGAGCGACATGAAGATCCGCCTACCGTCGAATTCACGCGAAATTGTTCCCGACTCGCGAGGAAATCCGCGGAGCGAAGAAATCGCAAGAGTCCCTCCGAGTCCTCTCGAGGTCGCGACCCTGCGAACCATCTCACTCGCGCGTGCACCGCCAATAAGTTTACGTATCGTAACGGTGTAACTCCCACGCACCCACCTAACGGCGGTGCCGAAGTAATAAAGATTACCCCGTCTCCCTCTTGCATACATATTAATCGGCGCGGGTCCACGTGAATGATCATAAGAGAGCGTGTATGCGCAGGCACATTCCACGATAAGATCATGCAATATGGATGACGACAGATAGAAAACGGAACGGAAAACGTTGGCTACTTTTGCACGATTATACTTTCAGATCGAGTCGCGCTCGCCCGTCAAAACGAAGTCACTGCCTATTGAGCGGTCTTTTATAACGATATTAAAATTATACTCGTATCGGGCGAAATTTATTTCAGTGGTGTTTTCACCTGAGATTATGTTATCAGCGGTATTTCCATCCAAGATTACATTTCATTCGAGTTTGATATATATACAGTTGCACACTTGCGAAACGAGAACGAGGAGAATTCAAATACCGTCTAGCGTATATTTTTATCAATCAATTATACATATAATTAATATACATATAATTATACATATAATTAATTATATATATCAGATCCTCGATTTGACATGTGGTGAAAAAAATGTATGTACCCTTTTGACAGTTGTACGTTTTAATAAACGTTCTTAATAACTAATGGTATATATTCTTAGGTGTATGTGCTAACATTATTGGCAATTATTCACTCAATATTTACATTTTAAATTACAGTTTTTAACATTTGAAACCGCTCCATATTTACATCCTTTTCCCCACATATGATCAATGAAAAAAATGTATAAAAATGAAAGGGAAATGGTTCTAAAATTTACGGGAAAGGAGATCCGATTAATTTATTTGACATCCGCCAAGGTATCGTTCAAATGTCGCCGGGATCAAAGTGTTAACCGCGTGACAATGTCGTTACACTCTCTTGGGATGCACCCACGCGCGGATGTGCTCACCCACGCGAAGGATCCGCCGCTGCAGGGAAGTAAGATGCAGTTTCTATGGATTAAGTGGGAAAAGAGAAGGAGGGAGGAAGGAAGATAAGGAAAGAAAGAAAGAGAGAGAAAAGGGAGTGGGAAGGGCAGACGCGTTAATGCGAGTGCGCTGAGAAAGAAGGAGAACGCAACGCGGATGAGAAAGCGGGTAACACGAGATTCCATTTTTACATGCGCGACACGCGATATCTCGTAATTGCGATGAATAATGTTACCGGGGATTATTAGATTATGGCCGCGGGCTGTTTTTGCATTGTCGACGGGCGTAAAATTGCGGGATTATCTTCCGTAACTCTAGACACACACGTACACACATACACGCACGCACAGCAGAGCGTACGAGAGATTAAGGGGGAGAGGGAGGGAACGAGCGAGTGTGGATTTCTGGACGCATGATGCGGAGTATAATACACTCGCGGAATTTTTCCCGCGACTCGGCCCGTTATTATCTCGACGATCGCCGACCGGAAGAAGACCGAAGCCGAAGGTCCGATGAGAAGGTCAGCGAAGAGGCTGACGGCGTAAGAACGAGAACGGCATCGCTCGGTGGCGAGGGTGGCTCGCACGTTGCGAGGCACGACGGCGAGGTAAGAGAGAGCGCGCGTCTAGTTTCGTTTTACTCTGCTTATCATGAGAAACGGCAGCCGTTTATAAAACAATGCAGCCGCTGAGAAGGTAGGGAGCGAGAGCGAGATTGAGAGTAAAGGAGATAGAGAGAGAGAGAGAGAGAGAGGGAAAAGGACCACCGGCGCGTAGGTGGCCGGTTTCCTTGCGGCGTCGCACAACGTTGAACACGGAACACGGTGACAGAACGAAATGTCCGAGCCTTAAATGGCCACCTGAAACTCTCTCGCTGTTCAGCCCGCGGCCTCTCCTCTCTTCCCTCAACCCCCGCGATTTCTTCCTCCGTGCGATCGGCGAGACATCGCGCGTATGTGCGTATGCACATTTAAAACGCGCTTGCACGATGACGAGGGGAGTCGCCCCTCGTCGGTGACGTCGATTTTTCCTCGCCAAGACGTATCGTTCTCCGGCGATAACGGCTCTTCCTTCGACTTTGCTCGAACGAGATACTGGTGGAAACAGATACCCACCACCACGAGGTGATTAGCTCGTTGACGGACAGATGAACAAGCGGACACACGAATGAACAACCACGGGTATCGGTGTCACGGTGAAAAGTTTACTCGATGACGCGAGGCATTTTCTCCGGGGGTGCTTCGGGTTGCGTCGCGGTTTTCCGAGGCGCAAAAAGTAGCGGAGATCGTGCCGGGTTGACAAACATTTTAAACAATTTATTGTGATTGACCGTTCAAAGATGACAGAGTCAATGAGATTTTTTCTCTTTTTTAATTGCGGCATTTCTGATTAAAAAAAAAAGGAAAACTCGAAGACTTTGTTTAAATCAGAAATATAATATAAAATATAAAACAAATAAAAAATTGGCGGAGTGAGAAACACAGCGGAACGGAGGTTCGTAAAAATATGTGCGTCTGAAAGTTAGAATATTCTAGGATTAATCGTCACCGACGGCATATCGGAAAGAATGTATTTTTAACCTCCAAGCCGCCCAAGAAGAATCCAATGCGGATGTAACGAGTCGGCGACGTAAACTCCCGGTTCCGGTGGAATTACAGCGCGGTGTCGTCGTTCGTAAGCCGACTGTCGGCGCAATCACAGGCCGCGTTGGTCCTAATGGACTC